AGTGTTTGTTCTGGTATTATTATGACGAAAAGTTTGTCTGTGACTCTTAGCAAACACACAAGTCTCACACTTCAAATTATCAATAGACTTAAAAAACTTAGGAAAAGAAGTTTTAAATAATTAGTTGAAGGGTAAATAATTAGTTAAAAGGGTGCGCCTAGGCGACGGGCCATAACCAAGCCTCTCTATCAGCAGTCTCGTGAGCTAGCATCACAGTACCTTGTTGAGCCACCTCATTCACATAGTACAGTCCAAGTCTTTCAGTGCCATATCCAATTATCTCCCCCGTCCGAATATCCTGTAATAAACAAAAGGTTGGAGCCATTAGGACAATGCAATTCAATTCTTTGGTAACATGACTGATTGATAGAAGCTTATGAGACAAAGACGGCACATAAAGGCAATTAGACAATTTTAACTTAGGAGAAATTTCAATTGACCCAGCTCCTTCTACCGGTGTAAGTTCCCCATTAGCCGTCTTAACATCCCCCAATTAGCCGTCTTAACATGAAGTTTTTTAGGTTCTGAAGGCCAAACCAAATGTCTTTTGCATCATTTGTCATAGTACAGTAGGCAACCAGTATCAAAATACCATTCATTTTGTTCATCTGGTCCTGATTAGTTTTGCTTAGTCCTATTTTCTCTATGTTTCATTTGGGTTAAACTACAATTATCAGAAAACTATGGGGAACCTTTAGTGTAATTCTGAGGACAACAATTATCATTCCACAAGTTAAATCCTAGACCAATTTCAGTATCACACAGTATCAACAATATTCCAGGTACTATTTTCGTATTCACCAATATCAGACAGATTAAATAAGTAACTAGGGAAAGTTTGAGGACTTGAGTGTAATAACTCAAGTCCTTTCCCTATAAAACCATCGGTTTCCATATTAGGAGAAACCCTAGCCGCTGCCACCATAGCTCTCCCCTCTGTTCCTGTTCCTGTTCCTCGAACCTGGTTGCCGTCACTGTTGTCGGCAGCGCTGTCGGCGTTGCCCACGGCGGTGGTAGATTTTCCCGTTGAAGTCCCCTTGTTTCTGTGTTTTTCAATCCACCATTCAGGATATCCCACCAGTTCAAAGCATTGTTCTTTCCTATGCTTGGCTTGACCACAGTGAGAACAACGAAGTTTTGATTTGTCTGGCCGGGAGGATGAGTTTTTCTCTGACCGACATTGCTGCTGTCCGCGGGTGAGAAGGTCGGCCGCTTCAGTTATGAGTCCTTCTCCGATTCCTTGCGAGCCTTGGTCTCCCCCTGTGACAGAGCTCCCGATTATCTTTACCATTGCCGATTCCTTTCTTACCGTGGCATACGCCTCTTCCACCGTTGGAAGGGGATCGGTTCTTAGTATTTCTCTCTTAATCTGATCATATCTGTAATCCAGTGCATTTAGAAATTGAAACACTTTTTGTTCTTGTCTGAATCTGATCATATCTGTAATCCAGTGCATTTAGAAATTGAAACACTTTTTGTTCTTGTCTGAGTTGATTAAATTTTGCAATATCAGACGTGCAGGTCATTGGGTTGGGTTCTCTCCGATCTATTTCTCCCCATACCCCTTGCATGATGAGCCAGAAATCTTCAAGTCTTGTTGTGCCCTGTTTCAGTCCGTTAGCTTTGACGTGAAGATTAAAAACTTGAAGTTTATCATGGCCACTGCAATAAGTGATGGCAAGGGCATTCCATAAGGCTTTTACCGTCGGATATTCTGTAAGATTGCTTGCAATTTGTGGTTCTATATTCTGAATTAGCCAAGAGAAGACCGCAAGGTCCTCTTGTTCCCACCTTTCGAAATTCAGATCTGTGGTCTGAGGAGGTTCAGTTCTTCCAGTGATGTGGCCCAGAAGTCTCTTAGATTTGCCTCCAATGGCAACTCTGATCATCCTAGACCAGAGTGCATAACTTTGGGTGTTAAGCTTGGTACTGATGGTCAATTAGTCTGGAAGGTTCTGTTTCTGGTTTGAGCCGAGTCCATTCTTTAGTAGATTGGCTATTTTAAGGTTGAGTTCATCATCCATAATATCTGAGGTCTAGGTTGAGTTCATCATCCATAATATCTGAGGTCTCTTCGTCAGACATAATGGATGGATGCTGTATTTTGATCTTGGTTTTAGGGTTCAGAGAAGGGTAAAGGTAAATGATGAGATTGGTTTATTTAGGCCATCTGGCAAGCTCTGATACCATATTAACTCAGAGAATATGAGAATTGAAGGACAGGAAGAAGAATTGAGATAAGTTTTCTCACAATTTCATTACTGTATCAATATGATTTTTATACAAGAGATTATATAATAACGGAAACAATCTATTCTAACAATGGTCAGTTATTCTGTGCAGGAAACTTTCCAAAACAAAAGATTTGACTTGCTGGAGAATAGGCTCTAAATAAGGAATTGATGATCTGCATAATCTGATCCTATTCTGGCTAACATATGAAGCTTTATGCATATTGACACGTCGTAGAATTTCCCAAATATATTTTGTTTGTGACAAATGTAAACCAGCAGTAGAAGATAGAACTTCAACACCCAAAAAATAGCTAAGAGGCCCCAAGTCTTTTAAAGCTATATCGGATTTTAGCTTGTGTATTAGTGTTTGCAGAAAACTAGTGTTTGCAGAAAACTAATGCTGGACCCTGTTAAAATCAAATCATCAACACACACAAGACAATAAGCAACATGAGATTCATGTGAGAAAATAAACAAGGAGCTATCTGCCTTGAAATTCTGAAATCCAAGTCGTTGCAAAGTTTGAGCTAGACAAAAATACCATGCTCGAGGAGCCTGTTTTAACCCGTACAAAGATTTGTTTAAGGCACACACATAATCAGGCTTGCTATCATCAATAAATCCTTGGGGCTGCTCAATAAAAACAGATTCCTTTAGTTTTCCATGTAGAAAAGCATTGGAAACATCAAGTTGACGTATAGGCCAGCCACTACTAACAGCAATAGATAGAATTAATCGAATAGTAGCATGTATAATAACTGGACTAAACGTCTCAATGTAATCTATCCCTGGGCGTTGGTGAAAACCCTTCGCAACTAAGCGAGCTTTATAACGTTCAACAGACCCATCTGATTTTGTTTTTGTACGATAAATCCATTTCAACAGACCCATCTGATTTTGTTTTTGTACGATAAATCCATTTACACCCAACAATATTTGAAGCATGAGAGCGAGGGACTAAATCCCAAATACCATTGGCAAGAAGAGCATCAATTTCTTCAGACATTGCTTATCTCCAAATCGAAGATTTTGTGGCTTCTGTATAAGAAATAGGTGTCACAGAAAGAACAGAAGTGATAAACACTTTAGGCTTTAAATTTCCCGTTTGTGAACAGGCTACCATAGGATGACGGTTAATTGTAGCCTCCTCTTGTGGAGGAAGTAGAGCATTGGTAAGTGCAGAATTTGTAGTGGATGGTGGCAAAACTAACACAGAATCTGTTATGGCAGGTTCTGATATAGGTGCAGCAGTGGTTTCAGGTATGGTTATGGCAATAAGGACTGCTTGTTCCAATGTATTAGGGAATGCTTGTTCCAATTGTAAATTAAGCAAGCAGAAGGTATGTTTGAGAGTTCGGTTGAGGTAAGAGGTACAGCAGCCAGGTAGGCGCCTATTGTTGAATTGGTAAGGGGTTGGGTAGTGCATTACTGGTGGGTAGTGCATTACTGGAGGCAGTAGTTCATGGTTGAGCAAGTGATAAGATTGAAGGTAGTGGAGGTGGTGCACTGAGGACAGAAGAACACCCATCACTTTCTTTGAATGGGAAAACCTGTTCATCAAACAAGACATGACGTGAGTAAAATATTTTGTGAGAGACAAAGAGAGACACTTGTAACCTTTGTGCAGAATATTATACCCAAGAAAGACACATTTAGTGGAGCGTGGTTCCAATTTATTTTTAGAATAAGGACGCAACCAAGGATAACACGCACAACCAAAGGTACGAAAAAATTGATAATTCGGATGTCGTTGAAAAATAACGTGATAAGGAGATTTGTGCTTAAGTGTGGGGCTTAAAAGTGTTGGGTGTAGGAAGTCCTATTAAATAGTGGTAAACTGCCCAGCAGGGAAAGGCCATGAAATCCCAATATTTCGGTGGAACAGAAGCATGAATTAAAAAAGTTCTACCAGCAAGTTTCAAGTTTTTTGGGTGTTTTCTCTTGCACACCCTTTTGTTCAGGGTGTGGGTGGACAAGAACTACGTTGTATTATTCATTTGTCACTCAAATATTTTTGGAGAGCTTGGGTATTCTCCACCCCAACAGATTGAAATTGTTAAATGGATTTATCAAAAAAAATTTCAACGACTTGCCGGAATTTAACAAACATAGAAGAAGACATTAGATTTTTTTGGCGAATGAAATAGATCCAGGTATATTTAGTAAGAAATGATCGAAAAGTATGACCATAATATAAACAACCCATAGATGTGGGAAATAGGTTGGGCAGGTCCCTATAAATCCCTATAAATCAGAACAAATTAATTCTAATGGTTGTTTAGCAACAAAAGAAGAAGCAACAAATGGTAATTTATGTGATTTGCTAACACAACATGCTTCACACAAAGATTTCATATTATTAGGAGAAGCAGACAACTTATTTGACAATAGAATTTTATTAATTGTTTGAGAAGGAAACTGAATGAATAGCTGGTGGGGGCATGGTGGATGCAAGAGAATACAGTCCATCTTTAACGTGTCCCCGATGAAGTATTTGCTTCGTTCGAAGGTCCTTAATCACAAAAAATTAGGGAAAAATTCCAATGAGACATCATTAGAAACTTAGAACGCGTAAACTGACGAACAGACAACAAATTGTGTTAGAAGTGGGAACAATATAAAGATATTATCTAAAGAAAAAATTATGAGAATTGAGAAAAAATAATGATAGAACCGATAACGAGAAATTTGGCAAGTTTTTACGCAATTTGTGAAGAGCTACTTCATCAGTCCCAGAATACTCAGAATGAAATGGCCAGTTTCAGTTCAGATATGGTGAGATTGATTGGGTTTGCTATGGGTTGCTCCACTGTCCACAATCCACGGCTTATTGGATGGAGTTGGTGAAGAAGAGTAGTTGCTGGCAGGTTTGGTATTTTGGTTGGTGATTTTAGGACTGGGGCAAACATTGGAAGTGTGACCACTGCCTCCACAATTGTAATAGGTAGGACAATAAGTCTCTGAATTTTGATTTCTTCCACGACCTCCATTGGATTGATAGCCTCCTCGCTGGCCACCTCGTCCCCTTACTCTATAACCTCCACGAGATGACTGGCGATGGGTAAAGTGAGCAACTGCTAGTGTAGTAAGTGAGGTATTAGAACTTTGAATCTGCATTTCTTCGGATAATAACAAGCCAAAGAGATCATCAAATGAAATTGATGTGAGTCTTGCTTCAACATTTCGAGTGAAAGGTCTGCAATCGGGACCTAGCCCCCTTAAAATATGATCGATGAGATCATCTTCAGAAATAGGAGCATCAAGAGCAAGTAATTGATCGAATAATTGTTTTGCTCAATTCATATAGACAGCAATAGTTTCGGTATCACGAGACAAGGTATAAAGAGCAGTTTTTATTGTACGAATTTGTGCTCTAGAGCCAGAGGCATAAATTGTTTGAAGCCGAGTCCAAGCTTCGTGAGTAGTTTTGACACCAACAACTTGTGACAGAACCGATTCAGATAGAGAACTAAGAATCCAGCCCATAGTTTCTTGACACTTACAGACACTGGTGACAGAACCCGATTCACAGATAGAGAAGTAAGAATCCAGCCCAACCTGTTTTGAATACTTTTGAGAAGACCAAGATCCTTTAGGAACACCTCAGACCGAATTAGCAAGATCCCATTATAATAAACCGTTGCGCAGGAGGCCAGCAAGAAATAAGAAACCACAGTCGATACCTCCATCCGTCACATCCCGCTGCTGACCATCCGAACGACCAAGCCACAAGCTATTGGTTTTATCCATGAAGAAGATTATATTATTTGTTTGTGGTGAGTTTTTCTGAACATGATTCTGGGATTGAGGGAAGGTTGAGGTTACTACGACAGAAAGCAAGGGAGAGAGGGCCAAAAAGAAGAAAAGGCACAAGTTGGGTTTTCCATAGAATATAATTTGTTGTGGTGAGTTTCACTGTAACATGATTCTGGATTGAGGGAATGGTTGAGGTTATAACAGAAGAAGATGATGCAAAAGTGGTAGAAGGCGCCATGGGAAAAAAAAAAACACACGGTATTGAAACTTTAGATTTGCTCTGATACCATAAAGATTGGCAAACAGATGGAAGAGATAATGATTTTCAGATTGCTATTGATGAGTATTTAAAATACAATAGCAGTAACAAAATGCCTACAATACAGGAATACGTTTTACACTATTTCAATAAACATCCCTATGATCAAGGAATAGGAATAAATGAAGTTTGACCGCGAGGTTTTAATAATATTACTCAACAGTACTTCCGTTACTAAAATTGAAAAAGTGCAAAGCGAAGGACTGACAGAGGTCTCAGTGGTGGGATCCACGAATATTTGTTTTCTTTTGGCTATCTTCTTCAACAAGCGGTAAAAAATACAATAAAATAAATCAATAAATAAATAACATAGAACAGTGGATTAGTGAGTCATCATTCCTTCTCCTACAAGTAATAGAGAAGTAGCAGTGACTCTGGTGGAAGACTAATCATCGTACAGTACAGATAGTCAATCCAGTGTGTGAGTGAAAATGGAAACAAATTTCACACTTCACTGGAACTAGCTTTCCACTCCATTTCCCTAAAGCTTCCTCCTCTACTGACTGCAAGTTCCTTCTCTTTCATTCTTCTTCTGGTTGCTCGCTGGCTGACTGCAAGTTCTTCGCTCATTTCATTCTATCTTCTGGTTGCTCGCTGAGCCTGCTTAATTTATTAGAGCAAGCCCGAAATGACCTGAAAACTATCCTCCTCCCCTCCTCCTCCTCCTCTCCTCTCCTCCTCCGTAGTTATTTTTCATTCAGTTCGTTGTTTTATTCTTTCCCGCTCCCTACAAGCGGCCTCCCCCCTCTCGTCGTCTTCCCTCCTCCTCCTCCTCCTCCTCCTCCTCCGGTGAGTGTATTTTTCATTTCTAGTTCTGTTGTTTTATTTTTCTTGCTCTAAGTCCTTTTTGTTGTTCAAAGGCATGGCAAATGCACCGGTTTTATTTGCTCAAAACTTGCCGGTCGGATGGAGATTTTCACCGACCGATCAACAACTGGTTGGAAATTACTTGAAGCGGAAGAGGCATGGTGATCCTATCGACGGCTCCGACATCGTTGAGGTTATTAAATTCTGCAATTATAACCCTTGGGATCTACCTGGTAAGTAGCTCGTCTCCAATCTTTGTCTCTTTCTTCTAATTTTTTTTTTTTTTAATTATGAATTAAGAGGATGAAAAATGTGTGTATAGGTCTGTCCAAGAATAAATCCACCGATAAAGTATGGTTTTTCTTTTATCTTCGCGAGTACCGCAATAATAGTGGACTGGCTAACCGAAAGGCGGGGAATGGATACTGGAAAATCACCGGTGATCCTCGCTCAGTCACTCCACGAGCTCACCTCAGAAGGAGCCTGCCCTCGAGAGAGATAACGGCCAACTCAAGAGACATCTCCTTATTTTCCCACCTAACTCCCCCCTGACAGCCGAACCCAGATGAGGAGATAGGAACTAAGAGAATTTTAGTTTTCCATAATCCTGACGCGACTCACTGGGTCATGCACGAGTATGAGTACACTGCAGAACTCAACTCGCCTATTCAGGTAATTGCAACACTCTGTTTCATGAAATTAAATGCTTAAATCCTTATTCTTTAATGAAAATTGGCTCTTTGTTTCATAACCCAAGGCTCATTTCTTTGCGGTACAATTGGGCCCAACAGAAAAAAACACAGGATAGAAACTTAATTATCCTGGCCACTGTTCAGAACAGGGAAAAGTATTTGTTTTTATCCACATGATCATGGACAGGCAAAACTTTTGTTGTCTTTCACAACTCACAGGGAAAAGTTTCCTTCCCTCCCTTCTTTATGGATTTATTTGTTCAAGTTTAATCAGACAATTTATAATAATTACTTGAAAGAAATTGAAAATGAATTTTAATGTAGCCCCAATGGGAATCCATGCATTAATGTCAATTAGCTATACTGATTCCTTGAGGTTTTGGTTATATAACTCCATGAGCTATATCCCACTCATCAATTATGTTTCCTGTTTGCTCTGGTATTTCCTCTTAAGTTTTAGTGATACAGTGTTTAGAAATTCTGATTATACTGATTTGTAATGCGGAATATGGAATTTACAAACTGTAATATGCTTCTCAGGGTAACTATGTTCTTTGCAAATTGAAGGAGAAGCCAAATGAGAAGAAAAAAACAGTTAAGAGGTCGAAGAAAGTGGAACCAATTTGCAATAAGCCAAGAGCACAAAAGAAGGCAAGAAAAGGCGAATCAGCTTCAGTTTCAGCTTCTGCTTCTGAAAATAAAATATCGGAGGAGATCAGGGCGTATTCAGCCTTGTTGAAATTTTGGAAGGAAGAATGGAAATGCACAAGATGATTAACAATGTTTAGCACTTCATGTTTTGCACTGCATTTTTGCACTTTTTTAATTAATTCAATGTTTGCACGCATTTTACTGCCCCTTTTTAAATTTAGATAAAAGAAATGGTCGCCTATTTTATAGGCTTAGCAAGTGAATCAAGAATACCTCAACAACATAACCTCTACAAACTCTTCAATCCCTAACATCAACACGAAACTTAACTCCCAAATCCTACACTGCAGAATAATCTGACTAAAATAAAATGAACAACACTCCCTAACACGATCTCTTCTACCATAATATTATTTTGAATTAATCCTAACATTCTTCTCACTTAATTCACACCATACAATATTTTTTATTACAAATAATTAACAATTAATGAATTTTAATCTATTGCATTTGATAGATTCTCTTCAATTACTATTGTTAGAAGCACCTCCTCCAACGTCAACAGTTTCGATGCACTTCTTCAACCTAATATATTGATTGCCACTTCTCATTCAAAGCACTAGCAAACTTTGTCTTATTTTTTGAAGCAACTTCTCTTCAAATATTTGGATCGCACTTTCTCATCACTTCTTTTATTTGGAGAGCATCTCTCCAAATTCTCTTGGAGCATCTTCTCTCATTATACTACAATAGAAGATTCGCTTCCTCTTGCAACGAAATATTGATTGATTTTTATAACCTGCAAATCTTTTGAATAATGCAAGGCAGGTTTCTGACTTTGAATTTTTGGCTTTTCTTCCGCTATGCCATCTAATTCCTGCAACCCATAGTTTGGTGGATGACAATGAAGATTGCTCTTTACTCCACTGTTCGCCACAGCAATCTCTTAGGGAAAAGCGCATAACGGAATAGTTTCTTAAGCCATCTTAACATTCACGACCAACCCACACCCACCCGACACGGCACCCTCTGAACCCCATCGTTGACATCTCTTGCGCCCAAGAAAGCAACATGGACAATGCACCCAAGACTGCATTACAACCCCTGGCACCTTCCACTGTCTTCTCTGCCACTGCATCCTTCTCTGCCACCTTTTTTAATCTAACAAAAAATGTGCCTATTAATCAGCTTACAACGGTCGAATCAACCAGAATCATCCTACAAAATACCCTCCATAAAATCCTACAACTCCTAATAACAGAAATAATCAAATTCTATGCGAGAATAATCTGCAACTAAATAAACATTGAAATCTCAACAGATTTTTTCATAATATTATTTCGAATTAATCCTAACAAGCCTACTCTAATAACAGAAATATCAAATTCTATGCAGAATATCTGCACTAAATAAAATTGAAATCTCAACAGATTTTTCATAATATTATTTTGAATTAATCCTAACAAGCCTATGGTGAAGGTGAACCTAGAAATAGCAACCATATAATTTCTGATTTGTCAAATCAAAATTCAAAAAAGATGGCTGCTATTGCAACCAATGACAAAGTTGAAGCAAGTAACCTAGAGGCTTTAGATTATGACAATCAAAGCCTATGTGAGGTTATTTCTATCTCAACCTGCAACACAGGTGAAACAGGGAGCTTAATAGCTTCTACTTTGGGGAATCAGAAATTTTCCCAGATGACTGACGTTTCATCCTATAAGGAGGGTGAAACGATATCCTTGATGGCATCTGATATAGAAAATTATAATCCAAACGAGATGACTGCTACGTCATCTTATAAGAACAGTAAACCAAGTTACACAACTTCTGGTTTACAAGATCAAAATTCATATGAGATAACTACTGTTTCATCAAATAACAAAGGTGAAGGAAGTCCCTGCATGACTTCTAGTCCTGTAAATCAAAACTCAAATGAAATGCCTAAAGAATCATTTTATGAGAAAGGCAAACCAAGTAACCTTGATCCTTTGGATTTAAAGAATCAAAATCCTAGTAAGAGCAGCAACATATCAGCTTCTACAAAAGGTGTGTGGAGTTCCATCTCGGAAACACCTTCCGATTTTGATAATCAAAATCAACCTGAGAAGACTGATGTGTCACCCCTCAAACATTATCCAAGTTCCTATGTGGCTTATAATGCTGGAGAAACATCTCAAGCAGAGCAAAGTCAGTATAAGGTTCCAGTTATTCTGAACCCCTTGATGAATTTTAATTCCCAAGAAGTAATGTTACAAAACCAATACAGCTCAATCCTTGAAGATGATTATCCCTGGACTTCTTCTGGAAGAGGAGAAAATACATTTTCTGAGGTGAGAAATGCTGCATTTTTCTTGATTTTGTTAATGTAAGGCATAAGAAGCAAACTTATAATCATGTGATGCTTTTTGCAGAGAGATATCCAACTGTGGGAAGACTGGATAAAGCAGTGTACAGCATAATATACTAGAACTGGAGACTTGGTATGATGTAGGTACGCCTAAAAAGGTACCTTAAAATGCATCAGAAAGAAAGATTATTATAGTAGGAACCCAACACCTCTTGTATGGTTCCTTATATAGTATCAGTGGTTTATCTAGCTAGCTAGCCGTTGATTGCCTAATGATTGCTATGCGCTAGCTAGCCGTTGATTGCCTAATGATAGTGTCCAGTTAAGACTTGATTTCACACGTGCAGCATTAAACTTCAGGCTGCAATGCTTCATGATTCATAGTATGGTCTGTTTCCTCCTAAATCCGCAGCTATACATTTATAAAAATGTTATGCTTATTGAAACCGGTACAACTCTTATGCCGGGGTTATGATTAGGCTATTGAAGCCTAAATAGCTTCCATGATGTGACTCTTATTCCGAAGTTATGATTAGGCTATGAAGCCTTGTATAGCTTCGATGATGCAACTCTTATTCCAGAGTTATGATTAGGCTATGAAGCCTTATAAAGCTTCCATGATGTAACTCTTATTCCAGAGTTATGATTATTGTACCCTGTTGTAATTATTGTTGAATGTGAAGCCTTGTATAGCTTCCATGTATTAGTTCCTTCGCATGCTTGTGAAGGTGTAATTGTATGAAGAACTAACAGCTTATTGTATTGTCTGGGTATGTATCACTTTATCCTTATGTTGTAAAAATTGTGAATAAATAGTTCAGTTTTGAAGTCATGATAGTGATAAAATAGTTCAGTTTTGAAAGTGCATGATCAGTTGAGTTGTCTTTCTACATATAATTTACAGACTTTGGGTGCTGAATGAATTAGTTAGGTTTCAGAAATGTGGGGAGTTTATGGTCTTTGTTATTTTGTTTATAGAGATTCCAGTGATTCTGTTGAATGATAGAGAAGAATGAAAACAATTTCGGTTTTGATCTAAAAAGTTTAATCGTATAATAATTAATTTGGAAAGGTTTTCCAAAAAATAAAACCTACAAGTTCAGTAAAATTTTAAATAAAAAGTTTTCGCAATTTATAAAATAGATTATGCTTTGTTCTCTAAAAGGACGGCAGTTAATATCTTAATAATATCATAATGGATTTTTGATTCCACGATTCCACCTTTGTTTGTTAATTTCAAGAAAAAAAGAAAAAAAGAAATGTAAAGCATGCCACAAAATATTTCAACAACAGGCCTAAGTATTAGCTGAATTTTGTTTTTTTTATTTTGTTTTTGTTACCGGTGTCTCAACTTTTTTTTTTTTTTTTTTTTTTTGTTACCTCACGAGCGTCTTCACATTCAGTTTTAATTAAAAAAAATTTATGATAATAAAAAACTAGATGTATTACTCTTCCATTAAATACTTCAACGAAAAATAAATTACTCCTTCCATTAAATATTGTTAGACATGCAGACATGAAATGTTACACGGAAAAATTTGTAAATATGAAAATATATACAAGAATGGTTTACCCTTTTCAGGCATATTCCTATCCATGAAGGCCAACAAACGATTTATAATAATATGAAAATTATTAATTTACTTTCAAATTAATATCCAATTCAAAACAGACTAATTTTATTCAAAATTCATAATTATCTCTCTTCATAAATGTTTTCTCGCAGATCGATCCTTTAATCTTGTAAAATTATCAACTTAAGCGTATTTCATATTGTTTGTTTTCTTTTTATCCTTAATGATTACGATGTTTTTACCTTAAAAAATTAGAAGAATATATATATATATATATATATTATTATATATATATATAATATATATATATATATATATATATATATATATATATTTTGCAAAATGAATATATATTTGCAAAATGAAGACAAAAGAATCGTCAACCTAGATACTTGTGCTGTGCAGACAGGATATAGATTCGTAGCACGTAACAATAATAAAATAAAGGTTCACATTGGTTTTGTATTTTTGCAGGTCAAAGTACACATTATGGTAACCTACCAATACCTTCCAATAATTCCAAGTGGTGTAATAACTTAATTTGCTGATTCTAGAACTCCCAATCAAAAAGAAAAGAAAAGAAAAATTGGTCACAAGCCAAGTGATGGATGAGAAAATATTTATAGGACCTGAAATTCAGGAAACAACAAAACAATAGACTTGTTACAATCAGGAATCTTATCTTAAATCTAGAAATTATGGCAATATAGATCAGAAGAATTTTTTGAGAATGTAGAGATCCATGTTTTCTGCAAGCCTTTGTATGTATATATATAAACTTTAAGAATTTTGGTCCCTTGCTCATGATAAATTAATTACCCATCAAACTCACCAATTCCTACGAATATCTCCACTCCACATCTACTTAGAAACAAAACTAATTTTGTTTTAGAGTTCGTGAATGTTTTTCTTTGTAAGTGTTTTTCTATGTATCGAATCTTGTAACTTCATATAAATCATCATTCAAATTTAATATGTCGTGCTATTTAAGTCATTTTGTTTTAGTATTATACAATTTAATAGTAATTTTAATTAATGTTAGAAATGACCAAAGAAGAAAAAGAAAAATTAAAATTAATATATGCTTGATTATTTAAATATGCCTTATTATACATTCGGAAAAAAAGTATGCCTTACTGTTTAAGTCATAATGTATTAATTTTTCTATTTTTCAAAGTAAATATATTAGTTTCTATTTTAATATATTATTAATTAGATTTTATAATAGTCAATCAGGTGTGGTCTATTTAATCTTGATCTTCTCACTTATGTGAGGAATGTGAGGTTTTAAGTTTGAGTTCTCTCGACCATGAGTGTTTTCATCAATTTAGTGACAGGAAAGGACTATCCCTGTTGTGTAATCTTTAGTATTATTTTGATCCATTGGGCCTTCCAATTAATAAATAAATTAGATTTTATAACAATATATAATTGAAATTGAAGTTATTTTTATAAATTATTATAAAAAATTTTAAACTCAATATTAAAATTCACTAAAAGATGTAGTTTAGCAACAGACATTTAAATAGAAACATAAAAAAAAAAAAAAAAAAAAAAAAAAAAAATAGAAATCATATTTGATTCAAGTCAAACTAATTCTGGCCACAACCACAGTGATTTTTTTTTTTTTTTTTTTTTGAGGAAACATGAATAAATGATTTGATTGTTAATAATAGGAGAGAAACTGGAATGGTGCATGAGTAGAGAAAAAATATGCTGAAACCTATGGATCTTGCATTTGTACTCAAATCATTTTTTTTTTTTTTTTTTTTTGAGGGGAACATGAATAAATGATTTGATTGTTAATAATAGAGAGAACTTGGAATTGGTGCATTGAGTATAGAAAAATATGGCTGAACCTATGGATCTTGCATTGTACTCAAATCATAATAACAAAAATATATATAAGTTGACTAGTCTTTTCCACATAACAACAATTTTGTAGTTAGGTGGTCATTTTATTTATAAATAAGATAATTCAAGATTGTAATTAGCAAAAAAATTCAGATGTAATGGGATTAATTAGATTTCTAAAATTTTAATCAAAATAGAAAATTTTATTTATTAAGATTCCAAAAATCTTCTTAATACAACGTACTCCTCTGTTCCACTTTAATAGCAACAAATAGACATTTCATCTTGTTCCATCATTTAGAATTTTGAGACCATATTAATTATTTTTTTCTAATTTTACTCATATATATTTATTAGGTGCCATTTGTTTATATATATATATATATATATATATTTTTTAAGAAAAGCAATTTAGACATTTTATCGATTTTTTTAGAAAATCAATGAATTTTAATAATTTTCTTAATCCTTATGAAAATAATAAATATTGTTATTAAAGTGAAATGGAAAGAGTGTTTTTATTGAGATTTTTCCAAGTTAAACATATTATACATGTAAACCCACAAATTGAGATTGTAATTATATGTTTAACCTATTTTTCCAGGAAAATATTGAAAGATGAACCAAACAAGAAAAAGTTAAGGTCATGTCTAGAACAAACAAAGTAATGGAAATAGTCGAAACTACTATTACTTTTGAACCCAACATTTCTTCTAAGGTACGTTTGTAATTTCCACGAGTATTTTACTAGATTCTACAAAATTCCTAGTTGGACAAAGTAATTAATTTACATAAATAACTCCCAAATGGACCAAATCAAATAGAGTGAGAGAGAGAGAGTACAATTTCCAATCTTCTAGAATTGGACACGTACTTGAATATCTCTACTAAATACTAATAAGCTTAATTAATTTATATATCTATATATATTCGATAACTTAAAATTGAGTGATTGCAAATATAAGTATACTAGTTGATAAAAAAAAAAAAACTATGAGTCTATATAACTTCATAAATACAAATGAAATATTTATTGGAGATGTGGATTTAAATTTAACTTACTCATTCAAATAATTTAAATTAAAATCATGCTTTTACTAATTTTAAATTCTTTAAACAACAAAGCACTAAAATTTTTGCTGTCCAATTGACAAATTCTGACAGTAGGGGACCGTTTGTTACACTTGAGTCATAGATTATATTGGAGCACATGCTTTATTAGCATTTATATAAGAACCCTTTTTCATTAATTACTTAATCATTTGTCTTAATTATAACATTAATTAATTAATAGTAGGAAAATAATAGTCCAACGTGGAAAATAGAATGTGCGTCACTAGTTGCCAATGAATGCTTCAAATTTGGACCCAGATGGTCCCATATAACCTTAAAAAAATCCCAACCAATATCCTTAATTATCCTATTCTATTTGCACCTCAAAAATAGACAAACATTGTAACCTAACAAACTAGCTAATCACCGACCCATTAATACAAAGTGAACTGCACACAAATTAAAGGAATAAAAAATAATAGGTGCTAGCTCCATATTCAAGCAAATTTTTCATTCAAGCAAATTATCTAAATCTGAACTTTTTCAAAATTCATTTTTTACTAATAAATTGATAGAGTAACTACAGGCACTTATAACGAAAACCGTTTATTATAAGAAATAATGGGTAGCGTGTACCTAAAGTCTAATTTCCATACTCTATTCATATTCTTATTGAACAAATCGAGTAGAGCAAATATTTTAAAATATTCGTCTCACTTTCATTCCTAATATTAAGACTCGAAATTTGAAACCACTGTTCTTGAAATAATTTTATCTAAATATTATGTCCATTCTGAACACCGATTAATCCGTCCACGTAAGAAGATCGCGACATTATGACAAAGGATAAAAAAAAGGCAATAAAAACTAAAATTCTTATCTAAAAAAAACTAAAACTGACGCTCTATTTTTTTTTTTATTTTTATTGAATTGTCAATCTATGACCGCCTCCTCTTCTAGAAGGCATAAAGAGTATCACCCTAGCTACTTTTCCTTTTATTTTCCTAAATAAGCCTTTTGTCCTTAATCTAGAGAGCCACCCTCCATTATCAAAAAATATATATCTTTTTAATAATAATTAGCCCCTAACATAATTTTTAAATTTGCAATTCACTTCTCTCTACTCACATTTTTAAAATCAATAATTACTAAGTATATTCATATATATATATATATATATGTTTGTGACTAATTGGCTTGACTCTCTCATATCAAACTACAACGAGCCCAAATCTTTTTTTTCTTTACTATTGCTCCAAAATATTTCTTTTGGGTACATCTTGTTTCTCTTTCTTTTGCATCTTATTCTACTATGTATGCCAAAGATTGGTTGCTGAAGCCAGTGCAAGAAAACAATGACTTCGAAGATTTTGATGATGAAAACGATGAAACACTCTCTCTTTCTGATCTTCCTTTAAATAACAATTCCTCTAGTGATTACTGGGTTAATGACGTGGCAAATGAAGATCAAGAAAGCTCCTCTTTTGATCAAGAAATGTTTGAGTTCTTCTCTGCGAAGGAAGATTTCTCTGCAGCTTCTTCTCCTAAAGATAATATCATATTTTGTGGAAAGCTCATTCCATATAAAGGAGAACGAGAACAAGAACGAAGCTCATGTCAAAACATCAGTGATGAGCTCAAAGAACGCAAGAAAAGTAGTATATTTTCTTGGAAATCATTTTCTTTAAATAGATCAAAAAGTACTTCTGCATTAAAGATTCAACAAGAACAAGAAAAGACGTACAGAACTTGTAAGACATTTCCAGAGGCATCATCGGAAAAGAAACATGATTTTCCGGTGAAGAAAGTACCGGCGTTATTTTCAAGTCCGTCCAAGTCAAGGTGGTATTTGTTGGCTTTTGGTATTGGAAGATATCCAATGGAGATGGAGTTAAATGACATTAAAACAAGGCAAAATAAGCTTAGTGATAGTAAAATGAGGCGGAGCGTTAGAAGTCCGGCGACGATGTTCCAGTCCGACTATGTAAAAGAATTGGTTGAGAGAAGTGGTAAAAGAAAGAGAGGTTGGTGGGGTTTTATTAGGGGGTTTGGGTGCAAAGAGTAACTATGCAAATGCTATGGTTAAGGCTTCATTGGATTGCACAACGGCTGTGATAAGGTGGAGAAAGTTTTTTAGGTAAATTAGTTATTTATGTCAGTTGTAGATTAATTGAAATGCAATTTTTACTAAATGAATTTCCAAAGCAAGAGATTATAAATTTTTTTTTTTATGTATAAATGATTGTATTCTAAATGGTTTTAATCATTGTAAATTAGGCGATGAGCACTAGTCCAGCCAATAAATAGTCACGTCTTTAGTATAAAAATTTTCTGAGTTTAATATGAAAGACTCGAGTTAAATCACGATCCAATTATCACTCTGTAACTTTAGTAAAAGAAAAACTATTGTAAATTTTATGTGTGAATATTTTTAAAAATGATATTTTTTTAGCTCAGAGATGTATTCATTATGGTTCATTCGCTTTATTTTGGTAAACGTGTATTAATCAATTTTAATTTTTAAAAAAATTGTTTATGCTATAAATGTCGTAAAAATTCATAATCTCGGATAAATATAGTTAATTTTACTTTCAATAGGTTTACCCAGTCTAATCTAAGTATATTTATCAAATTTATTTAATAAACAATCATAGTTTAGATTTATAAACAACTACATCGTTTTTAATTATAGACTATAATCGAGCTAAGTTAAAATTAAGTTTTTAACTCGAATTGAGTTAACAGTAGAGCTTAATTCGACTCAGCTTATTAAAGACCTCTTTACGTTAAATGCTCTACATCTGTTTCATAATACTTATCACATTTGAGAAAATAGCTTGTTCCAAAATAGTTTACACATTTGTGATTTCAAAGAATAATAAATATTTTTTTTCCATGTTTACCTTTTATATATGACGAATAATTACTATTTCAATTTAATGATTTTTTTGAGAATTAATATTAAATTAAAGATAATATAATCAATTCACTCAATAATTTATTGTAATTTAAACACATTTAATGATTTTTTCATAAAATGTAAAATTTTAAATATGTCAAATATTACAGAACAGAGGTAATATTACCTTATCTTTATGATCACGTAATAATCCATCTTGTCATTAGGGCTAATGTGGTCCTTTACACCCTTTATATTAGTATTAATCATTTAGTCAGCTTTTTGTTAAGAGCCATCATAACATAAAACCTGAATAATATATGCCGGCTATCAAAATTAATTCAACGAGTTGAAATCAAATATTAATCGGTCAACCTCTATCAACTTGCATTAATAAAATTAAAAAAAAAAAAAAATCAAAATGAAACAAATGTGCAGCAATATAGAGAGATTAAGAATTGCAATAAAAACAAAAAGTGCAGCCTTTTCTTGATTTGGAATTCAGGACTGTCTGATTAATTAATAATTAGTGCTTCTTGTGTCATTAATCCAAACAAATTTGGGATTATTTTATTTTTTTGTTTGTATAAACTATTGGAATCTTTCCTACAGGTTTCATTTTCAAAAAATGCAATTCATGCAGCATAAACAAGTAGAATGCCAATCTATATTACCACATCCGTTTAATATAATCAATAAAACCCTTGTCCTACCCAAACCCATTACAGATGATAAACTTTATTACCTATAATCGTTTTAAACCGTTTATAACTAACCAAATCTGTAATAAAAAGGTCAGCCAATCCTAGGTCAATTTGTAATATGAATTTGAGGAATGAATAGTAACTCTTCTCTGAATCTGTACTCTCTTTTTCCTGTCTTTTCCCTCATTCTCTCGGGAACTAAACATGGTGCAGACAACTTCTCTGCATCAGCATCTCAACTGAAGGAAATTATTCATAAAGTTGTGTATCATGACAAAGCCAAAATATACAGTACAGTGCGACTATCCTACAGCACATCAAATAACAACTGAAACCAACTATTCTCTTCATCGATTTACGTTGATGAGTTCTAAAAACAAGAAAATCTCCAAGGGTTTTATCTTCACTGGGTTCAATATTCAACTCTAACAAACAAGTAATAAGTTAATTAATATTATAAACCAAAACTTGATTTCAGCATTACAGCATGGAAAATTGGTCCACAGAATGGTTCTTAAACCTAATTTCTGCAGATATAAACAATAGTGCTGACTGAATCTGTTCCAATACTAGAACATCTAGAAGCCTAAATAAAGTGTATATTTCGCCGAAGAAAGTAAAAGGCGAGAAAAAAGGGGTTCTCTAATTTTACAAATCAAATAAGGTAGCAGGAAAGCATTCATCTGGAATCTCTTTTTGATCTATTTAACTTGAATCTTCTTCCCATTAACAGCCACATCTACATTATTGTTTGGAAGTTGTCTCTTTCTTTTTGATTGCTTCTGCTCCAAGTAACTGCAAAAACTCCCATTGTTTACTTGCCAAAAATAAGAGTGATTTATAGGCTTACTTAAAACTGGTCAAATACCAGATTTGACAATCTCCATAATTAAAGAGAAGACGCACCTCATATTTTTATGACTAAGTAAATTCCTAGAAGCAGATTTTTCCACGAGACTTCTGTAGTATTGAGTAAATGGCATATTGCCACTGGGCTTCTCTAGCTGCACACATTATAAGCACAATTAATGCACATGCATTGTCATTAGAACAGTATGATTGGACCATTTACCCAAAAGGTGTAGATAAATATAATATTTTGCAAATAGGGTTCTTTTTCTGATACAAGCATTCAGCAAAAGCAGGACAAGAACAGTGAGCAGTATTCACTGTTTTTTGGCTCAATCAGCAGAAAGAACCCCCTTTTTCATTATTTTCCAGACTACCCTGTTTTGGTAAATATTGTTTAATGCACCTTTTGGGTATGGCACTGAGTTGTTTCCCCACCCGAGCAATTTGAATCTATAGGTTGAACTTGAACCATAAATCCAGAGATCAGGGTTGAATCAAGTGAATCAATTGTGATTTGGTCAATTAAGTTGATTCTTTCTTCGTTGAACCAGAATACTGTCATGAAGCAAATAGGTCCAAAGTTTGAACTTTTGTTCTTTAAAATTCTGCTTTGAAAAGAGCCCTATAAATACTCTGCCAAGTAACCTGAATTAATTAATTAACTTTTCACATAACTAAATCGCCCCTGAACACCAGAGGTGATCATTTGGTCGACCCAAACCAAATAAACCGAAATTTCCAATAGAGAAAGTCAAACCAAAATTATCATAAGCCAAATCCATTTGGATTGGTTTCGTCATTTTTTCCTTTGTTTTTTAAGATGTTTAAAAACTGAACCAGACCCTTTTTTTTTTTGTTTGGTTTTTTCTGTATGAACTGAACTGATTCAGTTCGGCTGTTTTCTCGAGAAGTGCCCAGCCCCACTGATCACTTGTGCCTACATCTCCTATTCCCACCCCAAGTTTCTACATTTTATCTTAATCCTTCACTTCGATTTGGTATAAATTCTCAAAATCATTAGAAAACAACAAATATCCTTTTAAGCCTCACGAAAAAAAAAAAAAAAAAAAAAAAAAAAAAAAAAAAAAAAAAAACAAGTTTCTACATTTTATCAATCCTTCACTTCCGATTTGTATAAATCTCAAAATCATCTTTTAGAAAACAACAAATATCCTTTTAAGCCTCACGAAAAAAAAAAAAAAAAAAAAAAAAAAAAAAAAAAAAAAAAAAAAAAAAAAAAAGAAAGGAGGGAAGAAAAAGAAGATGCAAAAACCTAAAAAAAAAAAAAAAAAAAAAAAAAAAAAAAAAAAAAAAAAAAAGGAAAGGAGGGAAGAAAAAGAAGATGCAAACCTGCAGAAATGATTCAACAGATTGCTGATCTCTTGGGGAAAAAGCAACTTCATCTCTTTTCTTCCGCACAAATTCAATATTCTGTTCTACCTATAGCAGCAGAAAAAAAAAATAATAAACATGTCATTGTTGAAGCATTCATTCCTACCCCTATACATTATTAAACAGTCACAAAACACTTATGCATCTGTTAAAAACCAAGGAAAAAGAAGAAACAAGAGAATCATTTCTTATCACCCAAAAAACAGCGGCCATAGCCTGAGCAGCATGAATGATTTATGCCCACCATACAATTTCATATGTTTGGACCAACAGTCTAGGACTAATACCTTCATTCTTAATATTCCATACATATTGAGGTAAAGATTTTAAGAATCTAGTTCCGTGTAGAAGTCAAAACAAACAGCATCTCATCCAAATTATTTCACATGACTTCGTCTCTATCCATATTGTTATTGTGCAGCTGAAATGACTAAAATCTAAAACTCATCCACTAGATGACATAAAAGTTGATGTTTCCCATATGCAATATGTTAAGAACCATGAATTCTACCTTGCTGAACAGGAATTCTTTGGGTTGATGTGCAGTGCCAAAGCTGGCAATTCATGTTAGCCATTTATTGATAAAACAAGACATCCAAGCATTACATAACCATTTTGGGGAATCAAATGTAAGAAAATTAAAAGTACTAATAATTTGGCTGCATCCAAAGTGTCCTAAATGTGGAAAAGGTTGCTGTTTGTCAACGTATATTTATATCATAATAAAATGTTATTATTGGAGGAGAATCCCTCACCTGATCAATAAAACGCTTCAAGATATTCCGGAAGCTCTCAGTGGTAGTTATTTCATGGAATTTCCTCAAGCGAATAAGTGGAATAGTTGCCAGTTCGGGAAAGGATATATGATAGCTCCACTGAGCAAAGTGCACTGCCAGCAGTTCAATGGCAGAAAGAACACATTCTTCTTGGAAGTTTCGTGATTTAAGCCAATGTTTTGGCAACTGTATGAAGATCATTTACTGTTAGTTTTATCACGGAATATAATCCATGCTGTAATTTGAGACTTGAAAAACAAGTGGATAATAAATTAATTAACTAGTTAGCAATAACATAATCCAATCTTTGACAAACAAAATCACAAATTACTGACCTTTATAGTAGATGTAAAGTTAAACTCCTTTCCTGGCTTCCTACCTCCCTTGTCAATTTTATATTCCAAAACATCCATTGTCAATGATGCAACAGGGATGAAAACACCACTAGAACTGGAGAGGTGATTCAGCCATTGAACACATTTAACTCTTAAGGGCAAATATCTTGGCCCTGGGAACAGAACAGCTACTCCATTTATGATCTGAATGATCATATACAGCAAAGCTTGAAGATCAAAATAACGTATATTTGCCGACAAAAATGCAACCCAGAGCTCAACACAGTTAGCATACTGCCAGCTACATATCTTCTTAAGTGCTTCCTGCATACAAGCAGCACAAAGCATAGAATAATAACAAATTCTTTAAACATTGCAAATTCAAAGTCAAGCAACCCATCTTTTAAACCAATATGATAGTATGAATAGATCAGACAGACACACCCAAGTTCAAAAATTAAAAATAGAACACTGCTTACCTTCTTCTTCGTTCGTAAGCCAAGCTGTAATATCTTAGCAAGGTGTTGGATAGAAACTATTGCCTTGGTAAACGATTTCTGTACATCTAAGGAGCACAGCTCAACAAAAGAATTCTTCAAGAATTGTATGCGTTTAAATAAAACTGGCTCCACAAACTTGCAGCGACCAATAAAAGCCTTGTATGACTTAACCAAGCAGGTGTCAAAACAATCCGAGTTAAATACAGCAGCCACATCTCTAATCACCAGAAAAGAGTGCAATGATAGAGTCTCCTCACCTGTTGCCCACAAATGAATTGATGCCTGCATTGCATTCAAAATATCAGCATGATTTCGCATAGCATGAAATTAGCATAAAAAATCATAAAAAATTCACCACAACTTCCATGGATAACTAAAGGTTTAAGAGGCCTTGAACCTGTCAATGATAATGTTCAACATAAAACTAAATACTCAACTAAAACCAGAGAATCCATAGAAAATTATTGTTATCTCAATGCTTTAACCACATTAATGTAAAAAAACTGCCGCGTCTTGTAAATGAATGCACCTTGATGAGTCTTTGCAGTAAAGAAGGGAAAGCAGCAAAAAAAATCATTGAAGCTCTAAGTCGGGATAATGTGAAGGCCAAAATCTCAGAGTCTGAAACCTCATTCAAGAAAAACAGGGTACTCCTCAAATAAGTCTTTATCAATGGCTTCAGATTTTTCCATTTCGAAGTATTCTTGAGTTCCAAAACAGCTTCCTTCCTTTCATTTGTGCATGATATGCCGAGGATTTTATGGAATACACTGTCAGCTTCACGAAGCATAAACATCAAAATCTTGCTAAAAGTTAGGTAATCTTTAAGAGCGTTGGATGATTCAGTCCCATAGTGGCAAGCAGCCCTAAACCCATTTAATAGTCTTATAAGGGCAGGTACATTGTGCTGCTCTGAAACCAGTTGACACAAAGAATCAACTGCAGAACTATTCAACAACATGCTGATTTCAATTGTGCCATTTTTGTTCTTTGGCTCTCTACCATCATCACTAGACTCATCTTCATCTGAAAACTGCTATAAAGAAAGAAACAGTAAAAATCATTAAATGGAAAATCCAGCAAGAATACTCATAAACTAAATTGCATGTAAGATACTTCTTAGTTGACCAACAACAATTAACACAATATCGAAGTTTTATAAATCCAATGATCTTCTGACATTCCTTTTATGCTAGCTGCAATAAGGTTGCTTTGCAGAATCATGATTACCCTTCTTATATTGCCTTCTTCGTTAAACATGTTTCAATATGATAGGGCAACAACAAATAACTGCCCAATCCAAGCTTAAGATTTGAAAAGCACATTATGGCCTAAACGTGAATCATAAACAATCTCCAATCTCAGATTGGCATTTTCATCTCTTATTGGATCTTCCTATTGTTCATGTGGCTTCAACTATACCAACATTTTAGTTTTAACAATTCTTATCACTCCCTCCATCCAATATTTTTGACAATCTTCTCCTCCTGTCAGTCTTGATTTACATAACAATAATAATAATAACCTTTTGAGAAACTTTGTTACTGTCATCATTGCTTCTTAAAATTTTTCAAAACATAATTAAGACATGCACCATAAGATGTAGGGATTAACATCCTTCACCTTACATATAAAAATGGATCATAAATTTAATGACATTAATACATGAGATACAGAAAATACTTGTATTGGAGGGAAATATATCTAAATTAATAACTTACATCTTCCTCATCTCGGAGTACTTTAAGACGGTCCCTGTTGCTCTCAAAAAACTTCAAAAAGTCTGGATCCTGAGAATTTTTAAGAAAGAGATATGGATATGCAAAGAGTTAACAAACATAGAACAAGAAGTTTAAAACTTCCATGTATATAATCAGCAAAATGAAAAAAAAAAAAAAAATTTGGACTCCAAAATATTTTAAAATAAATGCAATTAACTTTATGTTATTTGTATGGCTATCCTACAGGAAGGTAGTGGGCAAATAACTTGATTTTTTGTACAAGGATTGACACACTTTGATACTAATTAATATGGTTCAGTTTCTACCAAAAGTAAATCAACAGGTAAGCATCTCTTGTCCCTGAAGAAATAATTCATTATGGACACAAGTGTAGAGCGAGAATATATTTAAAAGAACTAATGTTTTCCATCCAGGATCATAATATCAACATCATTCCCTAGCACCCCAATGCTGAACAATCAATAAATGGTCAGACTTCAAACTGTTATGCAATAAGACACTTGCAAATTTTGAGAACACAAGATTTTGGGAAATTAACTGTAAGATTATCACCTTATCTTTCAACCTGTCCAATTTTTTCATTTTCTTCACAAGTTCTGAATGGATTTCCCGGTCCTCAACTGATAAAGCACTATAACCAGTGTTGTCTGCGTGCAAAATTTCTATAATATAAATTATTCGAAAAAGAAAAAAGAAAGGAAGAACAATGGGGAATGGCAGGGACTGGAATAACTGAGATCAATGTACTTACCTTCTAGATTACTCTCACTTTCCATGTCATGCAGATGTGAACAACTTTCTTCCTAATCACTTAACCAAATCATCAATGTTAGAAAGCTTAAGAAAGGAACCAAAAGAAAATAATTGAAAACTGTTCGGCATAACATATTTCAAAACCTCTGATAGATAACCATCACTATCCAAATCATCTTCAGCCACATCACTGTCATCTTCATCAAATATTGCATCAAGGGAAATATCTTTAATATCTTCAACTTCAGGTTTTCTGAGAACAAAATTGATATGTAAAGAGTTTGTTTAAGATTTATATGCAAACATCAAAATGAAGAGGAAAATAAAAATCAACATTACAGGATTCAAAATAAAATGCCTAATCTCTTGTTATAAATTAAAAAGAATAAAATAATTCTACCATGGTCAAACAATGCACTAGTTGCATTAATTTCACCTTTTTACCTTCCATTAGAAAGCTGCTTTGCATCTCCTTCTGGGTCTTCAGATTCACGCAACTCATCCTCTGAAGCAATAACAAAGGAAAGAATAACCTTTAGACGGACAACCAAATAATGCTCCAGCTGCTACCATATTAACAGTACTTTTGTATCAGGCACCCCAAAAAAAAACATGTATTATCTCAATTACAAATTCAAACTCAATTAACTAAAAGCACAGGCCTAAACCATATTTCAAGTGACAAGAGTTATATCATCCACCAAAGCTTTCCAGTATAAACACCATGAAGATAGTAAACTGTATTGATTACTGGCAACAGTGTGTCAATAATAGCTCATACACCAAAAACTAAAAGAAATGAATTCAAGCCATTATAAGCATTTCGATGCTTACTCTTAGCAGCTTTCTTTTTGAACACAGACTTAAGCTTCCGCTTTCTTTTTAACACAGACTGAAGATTCTTCTTTGCAAATTTCCTCGCTTTCTTACCAAGCTTCCCCATTTTCTGTAAAATAGCACATAAACCCTAATTTCAATTTCAAACATGAAAACACCCACCAAAGGATTAACAATCCAATAAGCAGAAACCAAAGCAATTTAAATACCGCTTGTTAGTCCTAAATTCGCTGTCTATTGTTTTTGGCTTATGTAAGAGTTCTTCCAGTTACAGAGACAGGAGGCAAGCTCCAAAAATTAGAATTTGAAGAAAAACCCTGTCTAGGGTTTTAGATGAAAAAAAAAAAAAAAAAAAAAAAATTATAAATACCGCTTGTTTAGTTCCTAAATTCGCTTGTCTATTGTTTTATTTGGCTTTATGTAAGAGTTCTTTCCAGTTACAGAAGAACAGGAGCAAGCTCCAAAAATTAGAATTGAGAAAACCCTGTCTAGGGTTTTAGATGAAAAAAAAAAAAAAAAAAAAAAAAAAAAAAAACACGAACGTCATTCTAAAAGTGGGCACGGTGGTAAATATGTCAACGACAACGAGTATTGGAAACCGCTCTAAATGCAGCTGGGCCGGGTTTGGTTAAGCCTAATGGGCGAACTTCTGTTCAATAGTCTGTCTTTTTTTTTTTTTTTTCAAATGAAAATTAAGTTAAACAAATTAATTGTAATCTATGATTGAAATTAGGAAAAAAATTATAATTTTTAAAATAAAATAATAAATTTACAATTTTTAATCTCTCTTGTTTTATGGTGTAATTATAAAAAATAAAAACAAAGTTAAATTATAATATCATGTAAAATTTTGGATATTTTCATTTACAAGATCCTTTTTATGATTTTGTTTGTTTATAATTGTTTGTTTTTCCAATTTCAAAAGGCAGCCACGCAGGCACCTTTCTCATTCGTTTTGGAAAAAAATGACTTGTTTTTGCAGGCTTTTGATAAAAATAATACCTTCCATCAAACTATTTCTCAATCTAATGTCATTTTAAAACTATTTATTAATTTAATATTTGTCATAACATGAAGAGAGAGTGTTACACTAAAGCCACCAACTGAGTTGGTAGCTTTAACGCAATAGAAAAAGTAACTCGTACTGATAAGCAGTCAGCAAAAAGTAATTATATGAATAGACAATAATTTTTCATTAACCATCAATCCAATTTTCGATTTCAATACAAAATGAAAATTTTAAATTATCAATTTGCTTTTTCACTAAAACTTATGGGATGTGATCACTAGTTAGCAAAAAATACATAAGAAATAGGATTTTGTTAAGAGCTGATAAAGGACTGGACGCCTAAATTCGCCAAAAAGCTAGCTCGTAGAGGAAGGACAGAATCCAGCCTTATACACTAGCCCAGGATGTACTCCGCGAGCAATGTGGGACGCATCATCCCCACCCCTATAAGACCCGACTGCCTTAGTCAGCGTTCTGAAAAACCCTATGAGATACACACAGCCTTATACACTAGCCTAGGATGTACTCCGCGAGCGATGTGGGACGCATCATCCCCACCCCCATAAGACCCAACTGCCTCAGTCAGCGTTCTGACAAACCCCATGAGACACCGACCCCTGACAAACCCCATGAGACACCGACCCTACAGAGCTAGAGCTCTGATACCAAATGATAAGGGACTGGACCCCTAACTTCGCATCAAAAGCTAACTCGTAGAGGGATGACTGAACCCAGCCTTATACACTAGTCCAAGATGTATTCCGCGGGCGATGTGGGACGCATCAAGAGTCCACGGGATTAATTAGTTATTTTAATAAAAAAATATTTATCCACTCAAAATATTTTTTCACCAAAACACACATATAATCTGGTGGTTTTGGTCCAGTACATTTGATATGTGCAACGAACTAGACGTTGGATTTCATTTCGAGGTGCAGAAGTTGGAGTTGTGATAATTATTCGATATCTTTTTATCGTATCTTATAATTTCTTACTCTAATTGAATAATAAATTTTGCTCTTATTACTCTAATTGAATAATAAATTTTGCTCTTATTTATTTTCATAATATTTTTTTAATACAGGCAGATGGACTCCAACATATAGATTATAGTTCAACATCACCAACACGTACAAATCCATCATTCCGTTGAAGATTGTTTAGCTCATTCAGTGCAATGAATGAAGAAATTCGTAATGAAACTCATCCTATGCTTCAACCTGCCCCTACATCTATAGAGTTTCCTCGTGTTCAAACATCAAAAAAACTACAGACGCAAAAGAGACATGAAATGGCATGTAGACGTATTCCAGTTGAAGTCCCGCCAATCCCGCCAATAGACGATATATACATCAAGTCTCTTCTCCTATGACATATAACTATTATGAAGCTTATCGCGCTAATATGCCCAGCCTTCTGCACCACAACTTGAGTGGAGTGTATCATCTGCAACATTAGAAATGTCATTGAATATTCATTACACTCTGATGATGGCAACCCAGCAAACTCATACTTCTTTCTCCGAAATAGGCAAGACAACACCATTTCAATATTTAATACCTGCTTTCAATACTTCTGCAATGTGTTTCGGTACACATGATGGATCTACATCTCATGCTACACACTTATTTAATGATTTATTTGAGATGATGATGGTACCCAAGCAACAGATTTATCTGACATTTCTTAGCCTACAACAATCATTTGTGAATGTGGTTCAAGCTCCTCGCATGAATGTTGATATAAATATTGAGCATGGAGAAAACTATCAAGGTATTATAGAAGATGCAGTACGCCAAAATCCACATCATTATAGGAGGCCTTCAAGGTGTGGTATAGAAAAACATGTGGATAGCCATTAATATGATTGATTTTCTATGTATTAGTTATTAAGAAATTTTTAACACCATGCAAGTTCAATTCGAACTTTATTACTGTCTGTAATTTTTAACCGTGTTAGGAAACTTATATTATTATTAATTAATTTGAAATAATTGTGAACCAAAACCACCAGATTATAAAAGTGTTTTGGTGAAAAAATAATTTGAGTGAATAAATATTTTTTTTATTGAAACCACTAATTAATCTGGTGGACTCTTAACAAAACACTATTTTTCTATTTACTTTTATTGTCTAGTAGTCACATCCTATAGTTACACTAAAACTACCAAACGAATTGTGTGTTTTAGTGAAAAGACAAATTGACAACTTAAAATTTTCATTTTGTATTGAGACCACCAATCCAATTGGATTGGTAGTCTAAATACAAAATAAAAATTATTGGATTGGTAGTCTAAATACAAAATAAAAATTATTATTTATTCATATAACTATTTTGTTTACTGATTGTCAATATGGATTACTTTTTCTATTGCATTGAAACCACAAACTCAATTGATGGTTTTAGTGCAACACTCTCTCTCCATATCAGGACAAACATTAGATTAGTAAATAGTTTTGAAATAACATTAGATTAAGAAATAATTTTCTAAATAGCATTATTTTAGTCAAAATCTCTCTTTTTGCCCTAAGTTTTTTAAAAAATATATAAAAAAAAAAAAACACCTTAGAATTTATCTATACGGTAATTTCAGTCCCAACTCTGGAGTCAGAGCCCGGGCTAAATGCCTAATCAAATACATGGCATGTGCTACCAATAAGATATTGATTGGTATTGTAAGCAACTTTAACAATATGTTGATTGGTATTGTAAGCGACTTCAATTTCCACAAAGGTGTAAGCAAACTCAATCTCCATAATGAGAATACAAGTTCAATTTCCAGAAAACACATTATAAACACATGTTCAATTCTTAGAAAACACATTGTCAGAAAAATTTACGGCTCGAGAGCTTTACATCTCTTAATTATTCCCACCACCCCCCCCCCCCCCCCCCCCTCTAAAAAAAAAAAAAAAAAAAAAAAAAAAAAAAAAGGTACATGGCACGTGTTACCCCACTGTTAACTCTCTATCAATACCTAAATCTGGAACTAAGAGAATATAATAAAATTACACAATCCTTATCATCCAAAAATAGATTCATAAGAGAAATTATTATAGCCAAAATTCATTTATCAACCTATTCATGCCAACCTATAAAAGAAATCAAATATAGAATCTTTTCCCATTTTTAAACTCAAAATACTGGCGTTTCACTAATTAAAGAGGCAAGCAAAAATGCCATTGCTTCAAACCAAACAGGAGCTTATCACAATCTACTAAACTGAACTTGTTCTGCATTCCATAACCTTGCAGCCATAAAACCCTCCTATCACAAGTTTTTGAAAGCAGATTCATGCTGAGGATTCTGGGGAGTCAGTCTAGCCAACAATGCCTTGTTATGACAATGCTCAGCATCAACGAAGTAGAAACTCCCATTGGCCTTAAATGTCACAAAAGGCCTGTTGGTCTGTGGAGGTCGGATATCAGCAAACTTGATAGTCTTTGGAATGTATGTTGCCAACCAGGACAGCATCTCCACCTCAAAGCTGTCTGAGCCAGGCTGCCACCTAAGCTTGTGAACATAAGGGCTAACGAACCAATGCAGTGCAGCAGTCGTTGTGGCACTTAAGAATATAACCGAAGACGCAACTGCACCCTTTAAGATAACATTCATATCTGGAGATGTCATAAAGGTTATCACAGGACCCAAGGATACAGAGAGACAGCAGGTCGATAGAGACAGCAGTTTTACTTTCTTGATGGTGGATGAGATCGGACCATAATAAACCACCCCAGTCTCTTTTTCATCCTCTCCCTTTTCTTTCCCACTGCGAGGTCCAATGCTGATCCTATTATCGTCTTCCGTTGTCCTAGCTTGAGATGCCCATCTTTTCTGAAAAGCTGCAATCTGAATGCAACTGTTAAAGTTGGGTTTGGCACTCTGAGCATCTGATGATATGCCAAACCTACAACCATGATAGCCTAAAGCAAGGAGGAATCAATAACAATAAGAACCTCTTGAGGTTGCATCTTAGAAAAGATTGTCTATCAAAATTATATATATATATATATATATATATATAATATATATATATATATATATATACACACACTCTGGGAATAATATATATATATACACACACTCTGGGAATAAACATTTATATACTCTATGATAGGAATTGTGCTAAGAACCAGAACTTTGCTTCATTCTCAACAGACAAGGGCAATCAAGGAGCAAACTATGAAATAGGATTAAAAGCAAAACAGAACTTGAAGAAACATAATCAACTATAAGGTGAAACAAAACTTATGAATACTAGAAAAGCAGCATGTTTCGGAATATGAATGCAGGAGCTCAGACAGTCAACAAGTTCTTAAGTCTAATTGGTCAGACTGTTAACATCAGCAAAAAGGTTCAAAACAGTTTACCAGTAAGTTTTACTCCTTCAGTAGAATTAGAACGAAAGATAAAACATAAACAGCCCACAAAGAGGTATTTCTAGCATTGGTCTCCTCAGATGCTTAAACAGTTAGCTTGATGTTTTAAAAAAATTGAATACAATATACAGATACACCTGTACTTATAACAAAGAATGATTGGTGAAAAGTAGAATACTCCAAAAAATATGGTTCCCGTTGACTAAACGAATCAAAATCATAGTTTCCTTTAATCGACTTTGGTTCTTGCACATAAATCAATGGGAAGTAAAAACACAAACAATTTACAACTGGATAACATGCAAAGCCACAAAATTTCCAACTTCAAAGAATTAAAATCTTCGTAACTTATTACTAAGGCAAAAACACCATTCATAAACACATCTGTTATGATCACTGCATGCAAAGGTTCACATAGATACGGAAAAAGCAGCCATTGGGCAAGAATCAATCAGGAGAAAATCAAGTGAAGCACCAAGCAAAATATGCCATAAACATCCAAAAAAGGCTGTAAATTCTACAAGCACTATGCCTGACATGGCACTACTAATGGTTAATGACACTAGAAAGAGATACTTAAGATAATCTAGAAAATTAAAGTTCACACCAATTCAGTAGCATTACACAAAATCACAGGAGACAACGGACGTATTTGGAAAATAGTTTGGATTATCATGGATATTGACAACCCTTTACTAATCTTAAACACAAAATAAGCTGGCTAGTCCAGAGATGATAAATCTAAATGACCACCGTTTAGTCAATAAAATCTTCTTAAGCTAATAAACAAATTATATGTCTTCTCTGCAACAATTTTCTCATGTTATTTTAATCACAGCATTCTAAATCCTTATAGATTTATCAACCTTTATGTACAGCAAAAGTTCCAGCAAACTTTACACTAGAACAAGCACCAAAACAAATAAAAATAAATGTGGGTTGCGATTAAACTCTAAGTTAGCTATTGGGTTTCGATTTTCTTTGAGCAAAGTTGAAAGGAAGTAAAACAAAAACCCTAATTGAGTACTAAGTGAGAGAGAAATGAAAAGATAGATTAAATGAAATGAAGAAGGAAAACACCTGACAGGACGGTTGTAGACGAGAGGCGTTTGGATTGAGATCGAAGCAAGTGAAGGAGGACTGCTCTTGCCATTGTTTTTTCGCTTCCGAGTTTCTTGAGGGCGTTGGAGGCAGAGAGTCGCGACAATGGCATTTTAAGTTTGTTAGTTGCTGTCTTTTAACCTTGTTATAAAATATATTTTTCGAAGAACATCAAGCAGATGGGCATTTGGTCTAGTGGTATGATTCTCGCTTAGGGTGCGAGAGGTCCCGAGTTCAATTCTCGGAATGCCCCAAATTAATTCAATATTTTTCTTGAGTCAAGACACTCTAATTTTAAAAGAACAATTGTATTTAAAAAATAAATTTAACTAACTCTTATAAAATTGATGTAAATCGTATGGAAAGTTATTAGCTACATTCACTTCAAGCCTAGACCAAAACAGTAAAATTTGCAGCCAGTTTGTTGGTCATCAGTTAATTAACCAAAATTCTAAAACTTGGAAGCAGCATTTAGTCAAGGATTTGTTTCTAGAAGCCTGCCACTCTCCCTCTCCCTTCGTTATATTTTAAGGATACAAACCTAAATCTGCTTTTATGGATTTTACCATCAACATATCCACTCCGTAATTTCGAAGGGCAGAAACCTAAAGGTAAAATTACCATCGCGGTAAAAATTTCACAGTGGATTCAGAAGGGTATGTTTAGGTCTAGGATCGACCTCAATTTCTTGGTAATTACGCATGAGAAGAAGTGTTTCGTTATTCAGCTTTTCTAGAATGTCTTTGGCTTTGATTTTGAAGGTTCTTCTATTTTCTACTCCTCCTAACAGAGTCAAACAATCATTTTATTACTATTGTATTCTCTTCTAGTAACTCAACTTCTTCCAAGTTCTAACTTCCGTTTCTTCCCATTTTCGTTTACTGGTTCTCCTTCCAGAAAGGCATCAACACAAAAGAAAAGTACATCTGTCTCCCTTTCTCCAATCCAAAAGTTCAAAATTAAACCATCTTTTCCACGCACTATATATGTGTGTGTGTGTGTTGGACAATCCAGCAACCACCAACAAACATTCTCAACTTCGTATCTTGCTCAGACTCTACTGAATAGCTTTTTCTTTCTCTTTTTTCTTTTGAACCAAACAGAAAATGGAAAACGCCAATAATCTGAATGAAGTGGGAGAAGAATTTGAAGACACGCTCTCTTTACGCGACCTTCAATTCGACCAAGAAACTGAACCCAAAACTTCTCTTGATCAAAATCAAGATCATGAACAACTCAACCATCCTTCAAACCAATACTCGTTTGATTTCCCCACTAATCTAGACCCAAAAAAAGACATCATAGTTGATGACATCATCTTCTGCGGAAAAACCATACCCCAGAAGATAGAACCCATTAATGATCTAAGCTTAACTCAGTTGCTATGCAAAAACAACCATTCAAAACCATTTCATACAAAGAGTTCGAATCCTTCAGCTAGAAGTCTCAGAGACCAGTCAGTTAGTTCAAGGAAACACAAGTGCACAATAGGATTGACAAGGATTCCATTAAAAATGGAGCTTACTGATATAAGAGAGAGGCAGAATCGGCAGGGCCCAGTAACCATGTTTCTGGCAAAGGCCACCGGTGATAAAGCACAGGTCTTTGCCAGCAACGGTTGTCAGGGGAAAGATAATTGGGGTCTACTCAGGCTGTTTAGGCGTAGGCCATACCTTGCAAGAGGGTTGACTAAGGCTTACCTTGGGTGTAGGACAATCGCGTGTGACTCGGTCATGAAAACTTTTCAAATCTGTAATTCTTTGTATGAACTAGTATAACAGTTACATTGACATTAGAGCAGCACATAAATTTTTTTTTTTTTTTTTTTTAAATCAATGAACTCAGAGCATCAAGTAACTTACAATTATATAATTTTCACAAATATAACAGTTTGAACCATTCCTAACTGGCGATAAAATGAATAACAAAGCTTGTTAAAGACATGCTATCATAACAAAATGCACTTGACTTGGCTACTAAGAGAAGAAAATGCGATAAACATATATTGTTGTCATGCATATTACAATGTAACTACAGCACATGTTGAAGTGAGCACAAATTGCCAGAATAGTCGTCACCATCTCAGCAAGCTTGTTTGCTTTTTTGCCAACTGCTAGAAGGCGACTAATTTCAGCAATTAGTAAGACAAAAAGATAAATACTATTTACCAAGCAACTACCCAACAGTGTTGCTGCTTCCCACCATTAATTTGTCAGGCTCACGACTAAAAAGTAAGAATTGATCCACTTGTAATGCAACTAAAGTGAAGTTGAACAAAAATACACCGTACTATAGTACAATAAGATCAAGCAGAGGCCTTTTTACTCTTTTTCTTGGCAGTTTTGGCAATTGCCTCATAAATCTCTTTTTTCCGTTTATTGTTGCTATTGTTGTTGTTGGTGGTGTTGTTACTATTATTGTTATTATTGCCACCTGTGCTTGCTGCATTTTTACCCTGAACTTCAAGGGCATCTTTCACGAAAAATTTTAACCGCCATAGAGTTGATTCACTCTGCACAAGGAACAGATCATAAACAGACACAGATTATTTAAAAACCTAAAATAGTAAGATAAAGACAGAAGTAGTATGATATAAATCATAACCTGAGCATCAATGTCAAGATCCACCTCTTCAGCTGTAGCTTGAAAACCTGGATTATTTTGAGCTACAATCTCTAATGCTTTAGTGAGATCTTCAGGAGACAATCTTGTAAGAGCTGCCCCAAGCTTTCTTTTCTCTTCAGTTGACATTTTTCTGATACCACAGTATTCAAATTAACTTTAATGCCAAAGAAAATTACCATGCACAACTTAACCTCATACAGAATTTAACACATTCTTAATACTAGATAAGATTTGGTCTTCTTGTTGTCATTAAAATATATTTCGGATTTGTCCAATTAATTTTTAGTCCACATACATTTAGATATGTCAGTCAGGCAGTGTCCAAGTAAAAACATTACTCGGTTTGCAGCATATTGCATTTGCACTTGCAATTAGAATAATGAATTTACAGCATTAGATAAGAAATATGCTGAAAATAGCAACACAAGTCAGTTTATACATTCTGTAGCTTAATAGATAGCACAAATAAAGGTCGACATGTTTCACCATCCATTAGCATAACTTGATATGCTGTAAAATTATATATTGAGGTGCACAAAGAGGAATACAACGTGGAGAGACATGGAAACTGTAGTATAATGAAATGTAATATAGGAAGAAAAATCAACTATTACAACTAAGATCAATACTTTCTTGTTTTAGGACAAAAACAGAGTTCAGTACATAGCCAAGGCCTAGAATAATGCAACTTCTACAATAATAATAAATCCATTATAAAGTTATATGGCAAACCTGCACTTTTGAACAACCATGTCTCTGAGTTCATCCAAATGCATATCAATATCATAAATCTGAAAAAAGTTCATTGGTGTATTAAAACATATCTTGCTTCAAGAATTCTATTTATTACCGTAACATGGTTTTTTCATCTAGTCTATTTATATTTCTAAGGTTATCAAGTTGAAGTATACCTCATTACTTAATTCTCTCGCCATTTTAGCATGAACAGCCTGCTGAGCAAGCTGCATATCCAACTGAGCCTCTGCTTCCTCGACTTCTCGTCTTTTCTCCTGTGTATGTTCATTGAAAGTCAATAATATCAGAAAACATAAAGCTGATTTTTCATCTCGAAGTAAAAATGATTAGGCTGCTGACAACATGAACTAAGCTAATAACATGTTACCTCTTCAGTGACTTTAGGCAGAAGTTGTAGCCACTTCTCCTCAAATTTTGCTAGTAAGGTTTTGGCCATAACATGAACATCACTCCTTTCATCATTATATTTCATTGCATTCTTAAAAACTAATCTCACATCAGCACATATCTCCCTAACATTCTTATATCCAGTACCATCCTTAGCCTCCATTTGATTTTTTATGGTACTGAAGTCCATGGGCTTGTCAATAACCTAGATATACACAAAAAAAATAAAATTAGTCAAAGTTATGTCTAGATCCAACACCAAAAGATCTAGGAATCAACAACCAAAGTGAAGCTTCAAATTTTTATACACAGCTGTTAGAAAAACCTGCATCTTAACCCATCCCACATCATTAAATTCTTGCCAAAAACTTCATTTTGCACTAGTCCTAGTCCACATAGCATATGTACACACTTTTGTGTAAATTTGTTCTAGGTGGTCAGGAACTTGGACTCATTCATATATCTAGATCCTTGAAAGTTGCACAAATAAACATGTGAGGCTTGTGTTCAGATTGTGTCAACATGTGAGGCTTGAATTGCATCCGCAGGTCGAAGGGAGACAAAAATAGTTTTATTGCAGATTAAGAAAATGTCAACTTTTTAAACAAAGAAAGATTAGAATAAAAACAAATTAACAATAATAAGTGGGTTATTGAACCTTACCAGAAAAGCAATGAAAAAAAAGTAATGCAATAGCATCATGGCAATTGAAAAATGAGAAAAAAGAATGAAATTATACCTCATAGTAGTCATGTAAGCCAAGACCTTTGACATCTACAGGTTGCATAAAAGGCCATGCCCACTTGTGTTGTGTGATCTGCGAGCAACAATGGAATTATATCACACAAAATAACTTCAGGATAAATTTCTCAATCCAAATTTATAATTTAGAAACGAACAAACATTTAATCTACTGAAAATTAAGGGTCAAAAGATTGAGCAATTTTGCAATATACTGTGGTCAAAGTAATCACAAAAAGATCCGAAGCTAAAATTCAAATAAGCAATTGGCAATTATATATGAGAGATTGCCTGGCGCAATATTGTGCCAAATTGGCGCATAAGCTCTTGCATTCTCTTTGAAGCAGCTGCCTCCCTTTTAGATGCATCTTGCTGCTGCTTCCTTATGCTAGGTACATGTTTCTCCTTGTCTTTTTCCTTGACAATAGAACTACCTTTTGATCCAGTCTGTTGCTTTTTGCTTATGTTCAAGTAGAACTGTTCAACCTCATTCACTCTTTGCTCAAGCTACAAATTTAAAAACTTGCTAAAATCAATAACTAACTTAAGATTACTACAACTTTTTTTTTTTTTTTTACAAAAGAAATTCAAAAGAACATAGCAAACATACAAAAAGAGTTTGATAGAGAAATTTCTGTAAGTACATTACCTTATCAACCTTGTTGAAAAGTTCATCAACACGATTCTTGAAACCCTCAACTTCTATTGAATTTCCTTCAGGATGTCCGCTCTGGAGATTGCCAAAATCTGGAATTGATGAACTTAATGGTTCCATCTGATGCCAAACACAAGCAAACAATAAAAGAAACCATTAGGACATAAATTGCAATAATACAAAAAGAGAATGGAAAATACTATAGAGAAAAAGAAGATGATGATATAAAGGACTCTGTACACATACATATACAAGCACCAAAAAAAAGCACCGATTAGCGTCTTCTAAAAAAAAGGCAACAAATGACTAGAGAGAGAAAGCAGCATGGATTAAAGAGAAGTTGCAGAGTTTTTGCTGCTGTGACAAAGAAGGCGGCGAGGCAGTGAGGTAGTTCTGAAGGGGATGTTTTGTTTGCCTGTAACTTCCATGTTCCAATTTCGAAAGGAGACACGTGAGTTTCCTTTTATACGGCGTCGTTTTATCTGTTAATTTGGTTTGTCGGTTTTACTCTTTAAACGACAATGTTTTTGCGACCGGCTTTACTTTAGTCTTTAATCCTGTACATGGGAATGGACTCGGTGTTATTTGTTGGCGCGTGGAGTGGAGACATGCGTAGCAAATGTCAGCCGTTGGATTGCATCTTTCATTCAGCGGAAACCATGTCTCTCTTTCTTTCGTGGAAGAGATAGGGATGACCACCGTTCACTGTTCATATCGACTGAAATTGAATCGGTTAAAACTGGTATTAAATTATAATCAATTATAGAATCGATCAAAATTAGCACTAAACTGATATTAATTACAGTTGTTTGTAATTCTAAACCGCAACAGAAACTGTATATTTAAATTTTAATTTTGGTTCTTTATTTTTTAAAATAGAAACCGATGATTACTAAGAAATATATTTTTAAAACTTTCAACCTTATTTTTTTATTTTATTAGAATTTTTAAAATAAAATTTAAAAATTTTTTATGATTGAAATCAAAGATTTTGAATCAAAATGAGCGATAGATTCTAAAACCGTGACCATACCCAAGAACAAAACATGTTGTATTTATGTGTAGAATTATATAAAATAATTGTTTTCTACAACCGTGACCAGGAACAAAACATGTTGTATTTATGTGTAGAATTATATAAAATAATTGTTTTCTACAACCGTGACCATACCCAGGAACAAAACATGTTATATTTATGTGTAGAATTATATAAAATAATTGTTTTTAATAGCTATTAACCATGGTAGCAGCAGCTGTTTTAACTAGTTTCATCAAACATTAAAGGGTAAAAATCAACTTACTCGCTCCTTAAGAATCAGCACTAAAATTCAAGTCAAATCTCAATCTGGCACACCTCAACATGCCCATCGAACCTAGCAGTTTGAATTTGAAGAAAGTTTGGTGTTTAAACAGAGAATGTTTTCTATTTTAATTGCCTAAATTTCACATAATTTGAAGAAATCTAATAATAATTTTTCCGAAAAACTACTCCAATTTTCTGCAAGTAAACAGACTCCAAAAATCCCAATTTAAGTCTCAGTTAAAATAGTTGTTTTAGATGCAATAATACTAAAGAAGGTCCCGGTTAACTAAACTTTAGCTAAGATGATGAGTCAAAAACAAGATACTATTGACTAATTTTGCAATTTAAATTTTTTCATCACTTAAATTATTCAGTGCTCAAATTCACACGCCACCTCAGCTTCCACAAACCAATGAGTGAAAATAGAGCTGGAGTTCTACAATTCTATCTCCATTTGATCAAGAAACAAAAGAGATAACAATTTGACCAGGGAAACATTAAATAATTATGCTCAGAGAGTCAAATTTAGTAGTTGTGAATTCCATTGGCACACAGAAAAGTGGAAAGAATACTTTAAAAGCCATTCCACTACCGATACAGCTTAGTCTCAAATTCTCAATGATCATCTACGAAGTTGGAACTGCTTCTGCAGTGTTGCTCCCGGTCGAATTCTGCCTTCTTTCTGCCTGAAGTGATCGACACAAAGATTCCAACTTTTTTTTTTGATTCCTTGTTTTCTCCAATTGCTTTTTCAGTTTCTCACGCTGCCCAAAACAATAATGCGAATGCCTCATTTTTAAGATGATAAAAAATGCATAATGTTCCTCATCTAACTTTTTGGAGGTCCTAAACAGTTATTAGCAAGGATTTCTCAAGAACTTGCAAGTCATGTATGCACATGTGAGAGTGTCTCTGTGCATGTGTGCGCGGTATTTTTGCTGTTTTAACAAATAATGCTATAAAAAGCTACGTACGAACAGTACAAACATTTAGTATGACCAATTCCAGGTAGTCGGGTCTAAAGAGTGTCACCAGTATAATATAATTTATTCTCATCTCAGTTTCAAAGGCAAAACTGGAGCAGAGAATAAGAATAGCATTACATCCTCTGACAATGGTCCATCACACGCCTTCTCATAAAAAATTGACAAGGGGAAGCATTATATAAAAGCTTATCCAGCATAATCATGCTGAGCTTTTAAGAAAAACTATGTAAATTCTAGCATGAGATAAAAGGCATTGGTCTTCTTGGGGCTTTGGATAAATTCAATCACTACCAGAAATTCAACATCTAACCACGAAAGCTTGGCTACCCTAGTGACAAAGTACTCATTATCGATTAGGAATAACTCAGACTACTTAAACATCAAATGCAAGCCGTCCTTACCTCCTCAACAAGTTCGATGAGAGTAACATCTGATTTCTCAGATTTGCTCTTCAAGAAAATGTTTTCCTTCTTGAGTTCCTTGATTGATTTTGCCATCTAGCATTGACATACATAACACTTAGAATGGACGACTATTTTATAAGAGTATTTTTCTGAAGATGAAAACAAATGTACCTTCTCAATCTCTTGCTTAAACGTTTCAAAAACCTCATTGCTCTTTAATAATGCGTCCTGCAAATTGAGTTAGCATGTTAGATCTATTAACTTTATGTTAATACAGAACTATAGAAGGAAAGCATAATTTCTGGTAGGGGCAAAACTAACATAAATTATTGTCTAAAGGAAGATTATGCATGGATGGGGGGACAAAGTGGTTGAAAGACCAATAAAAAATACAATCAACCAGTGTTCGATCCTGGCATGTAGCTTGAGAATTTTTTTTTGAAAGGGAGGGGGGCAATTGGCCCCCTTTGCCAACACATAGCTCGCCCCTGAGCTCTGGGACTCAGATTGTAGTGCAATGAGAGATGACTGGCACAGAAACTGAATTTATCAAAACAAAATAACCAAATTCTGAAGAAAAATCCAGTACTATTTTCTGGAGAAAGGGGAACTGATCACAACCTTAACTAAATGAATAACACACATCCAGAACAAAAATAAGAATCTTTCATGAATGCTCATAGATGTTAAACATGCAACTAATATTGTTACACCATATATGAATGCCCAAAAGTCAGACAATAATCCAAGGACCACGATCAGCTTAAAACAACAAGGGTATACATCACACCATAAGAAATTAACCTGGAACTGTTGGAATTTTTCTCCATCAGCTGTTAGCTGCAAGCGCAAATTCTTTTCAGTTGCTAATAATTGAGACACCTGTTCAGCATATATTTTCATCTGAGACTGCTCCTGGACTAGTTTCTCTTCATGTTGCTTGATCTTCAAATCAGCAAGCTGAAGTTCCAGTGTTTTCTGTTTTAACTGTGTATTCAAATACCAACAGAAGGTCAACAGTAGCTTAAATGAGAGACCGAGCAAGCATTCTTCATATTCAAGTGAATGATAAACCCTTTACCTTCTGAGCATATTGCTGTTCAGAAAGGGTATACTGATCAGCTAGTTGCTTCAGCTTGTTTCTTAACCTGAGCAAGAAGAATCATGTGGATGACCATGATAGTGATATCAATATATATTTTACAGACATATTAATATCTACTAATGTTTTAACTCTTCTATGGTAAACAAAATTACACAAAATAGTTTTTGTAGATCTATATCAAACAAGATCAAAGCAAAGAATGAAATTATTCCAGATAAATGGAAGAAGAGTTGTCAAACTCAAATTTGCATGTACGGGGATTAGGACATTTTTCTATTTGCTTACCTATTGGGGCCAAAATGAAAGGAAGATTCAGTAATGATCTAAAAGATACAAGTTAGGCACAAATCAACTTCATATACGTCTATACAGACTCTAAGTCACGTCATATATACTCCTTCCATGTAAAATATTTCCTAGTAATACTGCTTGAAATTGTTAATTGCACCCCTTAAGATGAGTAAAACATGTCATCTGGGTGATGTTCTCGATGTCTCTCAAAAAGAAACCCATTGTTCTGTCAAAAGTAAATGGATACAGGAAGGTAGGGAATGGAGCTAACGGGAAATAGAATGGACAAAGAGGAAGACAGAAAAGTGCATGTGCTAACATGGGAAGAATCTTGTAACAGTAAGAAGGTGAAGCAACCAAATTAAGATAAAAATCAGACCAAAATACCAGCACTAGGCAAGTGGAAAATTTTTTGGAGGAAAGAACAGGAAAATGTACTAGCTTGAGATCAAACGTCCTATTTTATTATTCTAATGCAACAAACAAACATCCATTGAAAATAGCCTACTTTGTTATTGATAGAACAGTAAAGATGCAAAATGTTGGTTTGGACGGTATGGCTCTCATGATTCTCATTTGTGATTATAAAAAATGCCAGTCAAATGGACACAATTTTGGGGATTTTAAAGGCATATAATTGCATTTTTGATTTTGTTCCTATACACAAGATATTGTGGATATTGTCACTAAATGTCGATGCATCACATTCAAGAAAAGGAAATGAAAGAAAAATAATCTAACATTTTGATGAATTTCCTGCATCTTACATCTCATTCTCTTTCAACTGAGAGAAACATTCCTCCTTCTGTTCATCCAACTTGTTGCTCACATCCTACAGTAGAAAGATATTAGTGACCTCAATTAAATCTGATAGTTTAACTCCCCAGGAACAAGCAAAATGCATCCGCTACATGGTTTTGGCAGTAAGCATAGATACTCCATTGAATCCAAGGAAGAAAATCAACCAAACCTTGATTGCATCTTGGAACTTAGCAGATAAATCTAATCTCAAATTTTGCCCCTCTGTAGATACCCTTTTGCATTCTTCCTGTCAAATTATCAGAGTCCGTCAGTGTCAAGTAAAATGGGAAAAACGCATACATGTTGAAATACTGGCACTGGATATTACAAGTGCATTAGAAATAATAGCCCCAGGTTTTCAAACAATTAAAACAAGCTTTAATGCCAAAATTTGATCACATAATTGTCCTTTTCCAAGAAAGCAACTGCTTAAAATCCCTTAAGCAACGCTTCAGTTTGTTGGTATGCAGATGGCATCATAGTTATTAAAGGCATGCCTCAAGCACCCCTTACTTAAGGCTCAAGGGCTGGCTTCTCTTTTCTTTTTTTTTTTTTTTTTTAGTTTGCATTGGTACACGCCGATGCATTCATTAGTTATTAAAGGGCATGCTCCCAACATCCCCTTACTTTAATCTCAATCCCCTTTTTTTTTTTTATCCCGAAAGCAAGTCTCCCCAAAAAAAAGCTTGTCAGCTATACTAAACAAAAACTAATAAACCAGAAATATAATCCAACATAAAAACCTAAATATGCTCATACGCCTCCACTCCTCAATCTAGCCCTTCACTCTGCCTACATCGAAAACCACCTAAACAAGGCAGCCCATTTCAGATATCCTCTCAAACACTAACATTCTATTATCATCTATCTTCACCCTTTTTTTTTTTTTTTTTTTTTTTATCCTTGAACAAGTCACCTTGGGTTTTCTGTCAATAAAAAGCTGTCCAGCTAGCATCTAGTTACAAAAACTAAATAAAAGAAATAGAATTCAACATAAAAACCAGTAATATGCTTTTCAAGTCAGCCTCCACTCCTCAATCTAGTGCTTACTTCCTACAATCGAACACCTAAACAGCAGCCATTCAGATATGTCTCTCTCAATTTATCTTCCTATATTTGCATTCTATTATCTATCTACTCTCTACCCTAACTAGTTTGGGATTAAGGCATTGTTGCTGTTGTTGTTGTTTTTGATTCTACCCCTTTCTACCTTAAAATATAAGTTGTAATGTGGCTGAATTTTTTCTGATTTATGTGCGTTTTTTTTCCATGTTTTACTTATTCTTCCTTTTCATTTTCCTGATATCTTAAAATATATTTGAGTTTTATGTGTTGTATTTCTATTTTTTTTAATTTTTGCACCTCAACTCTCTCGGGTGAGCGCCTTGCGCCTTTAATTACTATGGACAGCATCTACAAATTGCATTAGAAGGGGCTCTATGAGCCGATTCTTAAGCAGATGTAAGGTGCTTAAATATTTTCCTAGAGCAAAATAATCAATATAAAATTATATAGACAGGACAATTTGTTACATTCCAGTTTAAATATAGATTTCGTATAGCAACAATACACCTAACAAATCCTTCAGCAAAAAAGGAGCAACAAACAAGGTTCCATTTTCAACTGCATATAAATAGAAAGGCCAAAGCTGAACTACAGAAAAATTTAGGGGTGGCTCACAAATTGAAATTAAATTTAGCTTTGAACAAAGCTTAAGTTGGCACATAACTGACCAGAAAAAGTTTGTAGTTAAAATTCGGAGTAGTTGGAGTATTGCAAGTTTTATGGTGCATTTTTTTGGTTTTTAATGTCAAAGACAGTTTGTCACTTTTGTTCTCGGAAGACCAAGTAGTAAGCAGGGGCTAAGCCATCTCGTGAATGTTGACTATTCAAGTTTATGAGGTCTTGAAACATACCAATTCATATGCTTTACTTCACTGACAATGGATAACTGTTTTTAATGCACAAACAACATATCGTTGAGAATATCAATTTCTTAAGCAGTAAATCCGCACCATCACATGGAAAAAATATTCAGAGAGAGTTCAAAGGCTTTTGGGAAACATTTTTTGCATGGAAACAAAAGCCAACTCAAACCATGTCAAAAGATATGTTAGACGTCAACATCAAAACAAATATCGACTTATCAATATGATCATCTAATACATAAAAAGTTTGAAATAAGAACTATACCATCAACATTTTATTCTGGCGTTGCAACTCTCTGCAGAGTGATTCGAGTTTATCACGAATGGCAATTGCTGCAAAAACCACAAAGGAAAAAGGTAATTGAAGAGAGATTCATCTAACTTTCAAAACTCTGTAACATAGTCCTTACTAATTGCTTTGGAATGAACTAGATAAAGAAATGGTTTATTCCAATGTAGTTGTCTCTTGAGCATCCCCTAAAATCTTAAGAAAAATTGATTATTGCATTGCATTAGAATATTGATATTTCTTACAGAATACCATCAGGATAAAGGCAATGAGAAATGAAGTTTCATCTGATCTCATCGCATCAATATTAAGGGGGAAATGTATTACTTACAAGTTACAACCAAAAACAAAAACTTCCAAAACTAAATTTTAGCAGAATAAAGAAATACTTGGATGGATAATTTTCAACTCTTAATATTTCTAACTGACCCAGGGTTCCAGATAGCATTACAATGGCTCATTGGACAGCAAAAGGCAAAGCCCTCTATAATTAGCACACAAGAGTAAGCACGACATCCAAATCAATCATCTTGAGAAATTTTTGGAATCTTCAGACTTTAAACATCTTGGGTTAATCAATCCCATAGAAGTAGATATGATAAACAATATTGAACTCACCAGTGTCTCTCTCAGTAAGAACTTGTTGATATTTCAAAGAGAACTCCAGAAACTCCTTTTCTGATTTAAAAGACCTTTTTGCATTCTTACGCTTGGCTTCAGCGGTTTCCTGAGGCAATAAATAGTGTCTAATGAAACATGAAAGTGTCTTTTGACATTCAGATAGAATAAGATAAAATAAGCAATTGGAGAAAAAAAAAATGAAATAACAAATAAACCTCATGTGGAAGTGTTAGTAATAATGTTATTCTCAAATAAAAACCTTTAATTAAACAATACTTTAGAATAAAGTTACATAATCTTTCAAAATTATGGTAAAATGTTTAATTCTTTAACCACTATTAACCAACTTGCCACACCAGATAATCTTTCTAAACAGACATATACATTGCCCAAAAAAATAAAGGATTCATATGTCATGCATAGTGCCACCTAGTGAAAACAAATACTAGTCAATTGCTTCAAATGTACTTGCTCAATGAGTTGACTATTGCAATACACATCCAGGTATGTAGAAATTAACGGTTTTCCAATAGTGCTCATGACCGTTAAACTAGCCATACACCTTTGCATGTGACAATCCCAGATACAACACAAAATAGGACCCTAAAATCAAAAGGGGCAAAGAAAAATTTTAGCAATATAGATAGCAATGACTAGCAACATTAAACCAAATGTCAAACATAAGCACTTGACTAGAAGGAACAGGGAGATAAATCATAAAAACAACACTTCACACTATTGAGTAATTATATGAGAAGGAAAAATCTAAGTAATGTATGAATAATGCTAGCTTAGAAGATTAAAAAAAAAAATATCGAGATAAAAAAGGAACAACAATAAGGAGAACTATGTACAATGTCAAAAAAAGTTAAGCAATATGATCGTACTTACTGGTTTTTTTCCTTTCTGCAACTCAACGCTTTCTGAACATCCTTCAGTGGCTGCAACACCCAACAATCCAGAATGAAAAATGCAAAGCAAAGAAAAGAAAGTGAACAAAAACATTGGAAGAGGAGATCCTTACATCTTTCTGAACTTTGACAATTCCCTTGAACTTGTTCTTTTAACTCATTGCATCCAGATACCCCAACTGAAGCCTCAGAAACCAAATTGGCAGAATTGAGTGTGGCAATTTTATCTCCAGCCTGCTCCACATCAGCCTTATCAGTAACTTCTACTAATTTCACTGAATCATCAAATCCATTGATTTCGGACATTGAAATTGGAAGTGGTCTCAGTTTTTCTGCCTTCCCATTGCTCTCCAGGCTTGTTTGAGATTCATTTGCTGTCAATTCAGGTATTCTTTCATTTGAATGATCAAGTTCTGAGATACTATCCTCATTGCAATCACACCGAGGCTTCTCTTGTTCTAAAGTGGGAGTTGGAGGAGCCAGAGGTTCATTGGAGCCATCAACGAACCCAACTGGCAATGAATCTACTTCAGGAAGCTGATTTGCATCTGTATTCTCCATCTTACCTAAACTTTAAGCATTGATATTTTGAACATTAACATACATCGCCATTGCTCTTTTCTGGTGGTAAAATATGTTGTAAACAAGTACAAAGAAGACCATTTTCAGTTAAAAATTAACAAAAGAGGGAGTGAAAGAAATATGAAACTTAGCAGAAAACACATTCCTCGCCAAATCTACAATAGAAAGGAAAATGTTCAAAACCTAGACGTTAAACTCAAAGGCTATCAATGAAAAAACAAAAACAAGTCACCAACATACAAAAAAATGCAAATTTATAAGGAGTAAGACATACAATATAAACCTCAGTTGTGAATTTCTTACAAGTGAAAAAAAGAATAAGGTGCAATTTTTATTCTTGTTTCAAGCCACAATTTTTCTTTGCCAAGGGATGATTATTTTTTGTCCTAACCTATTAGAACTGCAAACAAAAACAAAACAAAAGACCAGACTAAGAGGACAATGCAACAGCTACACCAGTCTCGAAAACATCATTTTTTCCGTGAAGAATCAGGGAATTCCAAGTACCCAAATAACAAACAAATAAAAAAAGGACCCAATTTGCAACTGAGGCTTGTTATTTCGCATTTAATTTCAAATTTCAATCTTTGTTTTCCCTTTTAAAGAAACTAAGAAGCATTAAACGAAGGGAGCTAAACCTCAGTAATCAAAACATTATACTACCCAATTTCCTTTCATTTCTGCATTTTCTGAGCAACCAAACGGAGGGAGATGCATATAACCAGTGATTATTGAGAAACGCAAGACTTTAAAACTAATAAAGACTGATAGGCAAAGTACAAAAAGGAAAAAACAGATCAAGAAGCTTACCATGAGAGAGGCGAAATCTAATTTAAAAATTTAAGACACAGAAAGAAGAGGAAGTCCCTCAAAGTATAACAAGTTGGTGAAGTGAAACGAAAACTGCGGTGGAAAAATTGTTGTCACTCACAGTAGTGGGGTTTTTGGCCAACTGGTTGGTTTACATGCGCTGATCGGCCTGCTTGTCTCTAATGCCATGGTATTTGGGTTTTTTATTTTTTATCTTTTTCGTAGTTTCTGTTAAAATAAATAAAGGCGCGGTATATCAGAATGCTCATATATTTTTGCAATTGCATCTTATTTTGATTTTTTATTAGTTTTACTCTAATTTCGAAATTATTCAGCAACACCACTGGATTTGTACGAGACAAACCGCTCGTAAGCTATTCGAGCTCGGCTCATAAAAATTCGCTCGAGCTCATTCAATAAGTTTATCAAGCCAAACTCGAGTTTGAATCATTAGCTTGCTAGTCAATTTTATCAAGCCAAACTCACGAGTTAGTTTTATTGAGCACGAGCTAATCTTATGGAGCAAGTCGAACTCACGAGCTAGTTCAATAAAACAAAATCAATTAAAATTTATATTAAAACGACATCGTTTTTGTAATAAATTTCGAGCTCGGCTCTTTTATGGTTATCAAGTTGAACCCGAGTCGAGTTCGAGCTTGGCTATTTTTAAACGAGTCGATCTCACCAAAACTCGGCTCGGCTAGGCTCGTTTACAGCCCTAAACACTACTTTCATTTATAATTAACAGTAAAATTTTAAATAAAAAATTATTTTCATTATTTTTTAAAATAATGATAATAATAAGATTTTTAAATATAAAATTATAATCACATTTAACGAATGGTACATTTATAAATTTAGAAAAATAATATTTTTTTAGACATTTACCATTAAAAATAATTAAAATTTTATTTATATTTGTTATATAATTTGAGTATATTACCAATCCAAACACGTTTAACAATTTAGATTTTCACCCTTGAAATATAGATAATATGAAAAGAAAATACGTCCATAAAAAAAATTATATTTCATGAAATTAATTGTACATCATGTTTCGAAGAGTTTTTTGTAAGTAATAGAAATTTATGTTATTAAATTAGCATGTTAATTTCAAAAATTAAAATTTAATCTATACAATATTTATTGGATTGGTTAATGAATTTTTTTAATTTAATTTTTAAAATGTGCTATATGATGTTTAGAAATAATTTTTATTTTCAACTTCATCTTTGATTTGAATCGAAAGTATTATTACTACAAAATGTTGAAATTAGAATAAAACTAATAAAAAAAGTCAAAATAGAGAAAAATTATAAAAACCTATAAAGTTATTTTAATATATTAAGCGAGTAAATAGATAAATAATTACAGTGTGCACCAACTTGATAGTTGCCAAAATTGATATAATTTTTGTCTTAAAAAATATATCTTATAATTTCAATTGATAAAATAAAAATATAAAATTTGTAAAATTTTACTACTTTATTTCTGCAATTATTTTATTAGTATAAATAAATATAAAATTTATATGAAGTGAAATTGTATCATTGTTAATGGAATGGATAAAGAATACTTCTCCACTTTAATTTTTTCCAAAAATTAAATTTCATCGGCATTAAATTTCTTCCTAAGGATATTAAAAACAATATACTATATAATAGGCTTAATGATAAAAAAAAGTTTGAATTTTACGTTTTTTTATTTTAACAATTTTTTTTACAAAAGGCAACCTTTTGATTGAAAAGGAGAGGAAGGAAAGTAGCGGAGAAAAAAATTAACGTGGAATTATCAATTTCATTTCTATTGTTATTTTCCACGCTTGTGTCTGGATATACTAAAGGAAATAAAATAAAATTTATTTTTCGAAAAATTTTACAATAAAGTAAATGTTATTATTAAAAATTGATAATTATATCCTTACTTAAATTGTGGGATATGTAAGAAAGGGTTAAATTTTATTAATTAATTTGGGGTGTTTAGATAATTTAATAAAATGTGTGAAATTTTCAATTTTTTTCATTATTTTTTTTTTCTGTCCGAGTGAAAAATAAGTGAAATATAAATTCCTCCAATATTTTCCTCCTTTTTTTATAAACCATCGAATAACCCTATTATTAGGGACCGACCAATCCTGCTCGGGGCTTAGTCACAATTAAAGCTTTTCACTCTCTTTACATGTGTGTTTAGTAGGGATCCAATCCAGTCTGCTAACTAAGCCACAACCTATAAATATATTTTCCTCCTCTTTTCCAAACAAGGGAAAATATCTTTTCGTCCATATTTTTTATAGTTATTTTTCTTAAAAAAAAAAAAAAAAAAAAAAAAGGTTAAATGTTTATTATGTGAAATATATAAATTATATCCTTAACTTAAATTGTGGTTGGATATGTAAGAAAGGGTTTTTTACAACTCTTTACATTACATTTAATTTGGCGGTGTTTTAGATAATTTAATAAAATGTGTGAAATTTTTCAAATTTTTCATTATTTTTTTTTTTCTGTTCGAGATGAAAAATAAGTGAAAATATAAATTCCTCCAATATTTTCCTCCTTTTTTATATTAAACCACGAATAACCCTATTATTAGGACCCGACCAATCCTGCTCGGGGGCTTAGTCACCAATTAAAGCTTTTTCACTCTCTTTTACATGGCCTGTGGTTTTAGTAGGATTCCAATTCGCAGGTCTAGCTAACTAAGCCACAAACCTAATAAATATATTTTCCTCCTCTTTTCCAAACAAGGGGAAACATATGCTTGTTCGTCATATTTTTTATAGTTATTTTTCTTACAAAAAAAAGAGAAAAAAGAAAAAACAACAGATTCAAAAAACAGAGAGTTAGATTTTTATTTAAAAAAAAAAAAAAAAAAAAAAACACAGATTCAAACAGAGAGTTAATTTTATTAATAAACATCTTAACTATTATTCCATTTCAATTATGGTCTCCATCTAATGTTTATTAAAAGTGTGATGACGTGGCCATTAGTGAGTCCACCAATTGCCCTAAAAGCGCCTCGTGTATCATCCACATTAACATTTCATAAACCCCTCACACACCAAAATGCTGCCATTTTTGCAGTTGAAGTATAGTTATGCCTTAATCATTAACGACCTCATTTCGTTACTACATGAATGAGGGTACTTGATTCGTCACTTTCTATTTCTGTTTCCCTAAACTTTATCTCTTGTATTTGCACCTATCTTCCCCTTCTTCTGCTTCATCTCCTTAAAAATGCCTTAAAGGGCACACTACGTTGCTAGAATTCGACATTATCACTAATAACCATTAAAGACGTCGAAGCATACGTCAAATTGAAGCTCACATTGTTAGCCATGGCCATTTTTTGATTTTTGGAACCGAAATCTGTTAGATTATTTAATACTCTATATGTGGCCCATGTAATTAAAGGACTGGTTCTAATTAAGGTAGTCCAACATAGTGATTATTGTGCTTAATGGATAAGGATCAGTTAGGGTTTTAATATCCTTCCTCTGCCTTATAAAAGATTAAAGAAATCAACAGCGTAGGTTAAGAGAGTGTGACGGCTATCTCAAACACATACGGTGATAGGTTGTTTGAGACGGCTATCCAAACACATACGGTCGCACTAGGTTGTTTTGAGAGGACCGTGAAAAAAAACTTCCGTTGCTGTTATAATCTCTCACGCCATTAATAGAGCAGCACTTATGCGACAAAAGGCACAAACGTGAAGAAAACAATTAGATCTGCCTGTATACGGTGAGAATCAAAATTGCCACAATGGATGGTAATCCATAACTAGGTCTGGTTGTTATGAGAATCCAAAGGTACTCCTTCGCTTATATGTTGTATTTCTTTATTCCTTCCTCTGCCTTATAAAAGATTAAAGAAATCAACAGCGTAGGTTAAGAGAGTGTGACGGCTATCTCAAACACATACGGTGATAGGTTGTTTGAGAGACCGTGAAAAAAAAACTTCCGTGCTGTTGATAATTCTCTCACCATTAAGAGAGCACTTATGGACAAAAGGCCAAAGTGAAGAAACATAGATCTGCTGTTACGGTGAGAATCAAATTGCCACAATGAGGTAATCCATAACATAGATCTGGTGTTATGGATCAAGGTACTCTTCCGCTTATTGTGTATTCTTATTGAATAAATTCTATGAACTATAAGATCTAGGTTATATTAAAGTTATTTTTAACAAAATCGGTCCAAACCGAAATCAAAACCGAGGGCTGCGGTCTAGTTCTGGTTTCAAGTTTTGAGGAACTAACGGTTTTTCCAACTGATTAGAATCGGTTCCACCGGTTCAAACAGGCGGTTCAAGCAGAATTTTTTTTTACTTTTTTCAAAAGTTTATTTGAAATCTCCAAATTAACCATATGAATAACTATGTAACGGCTAGTTTTAAAGAAATTTGTGGAAAGTTGATTTTTTTAAATTTACTATAAATACCCATTATTTTTATTTATTCTCACACAAAATTATTTCTCTCTGCTGCTCTCTACTCTCCAATATTTCTAAGCGCACCCATTTATAATTGTGCAAATTATTGTAAATAATTTCTCCAAAAGCCAATATCTAATTATTGTCCAAGCCTTTAAAAAAAAGTTCCAAGTCTTTTTTTTTTTAACTTTTTTCTTCAAGTTTTTTTTAATCATTTCATAAATATCTAAATTTTAACTTTTCAATAAAAAATGTTCCTTAATTTTTTATTTTTTTATTTTATAATTATGCGATTCGCCGGAAAATCGATTGGAAAATCGGCCGGAATTTTTAATTTTAAAACCGTAACTGTTCGGTTTCAAACCGTAACATGAACTGTCAATTTTCGATTCAATTCTGATTTTAGAATCGAAATTGTCGGTTTTCGAACCGAAACTGTGGCCACCCCTGCACATTGTAAAGGTTTGATATGTAAATACAAATTATGATAGAGGAGAACAGAAAAGTATAGTAATATAGATTATGGTATAAAAATACTTTTATGTTTGAAAAAATAAAATTAAATCCATTTTCACTTGAAAATATGAAAAAAAAAAGTCAACTGTATTTATAGAATATATAATTAAAACTCTAAAATTGGATGTATGGCTTGGACATGTTCTAAGAATAATTATATTTTTAGTTTCCAAATTTTTCATTTTTTTTTTATTTTGGAGTTACTATAACGATTGAGTTTTTAAATTTTTTAAAATTTTCAAAA